AAGTTAGTTTCCTCACTCTTTGTGTGGCTTGGATCTGAAATGTCTCCAAAAGGCCCACATATTAAAGCCTTGTTCCCCAGGGTGGCGTTATAAGGAAGTAGGGGAACCTTTAAAAGGCAGGGCCTAGTGGAAGGTGTTAGGTCTTTGAGGCAGGTTAAAATCCACAGAGCCAACTGACCATGACCCAAACTCTCTGAAACTGTGAGCCAAAGTAAGTTGATTATCTATGGTGTTTGTTATAGTGGCAGGAAGCTGACTGCCACACCAGCAGAGGGGCTTACTATTGGGAAAGGGGCTGCAGCACTCACCAGTCTGGAAAGGGAGTTCGCTTCCTAGCGCTTGACCTGGATGGGGGCAGACATGTCCCATCTCTGCCCCCAGCCGGCCTCTCTGGCCACTTACTGCTGTAATTTCTTAATGACAACAGACCCCAACTTTTCTCAGACACTTTATAACCCGTGGCTCTCTGGGGATGGGGATCTTAGGTCTCCTCTTCCCAGCTGCCATTGTGGGCCTCAAGTGGTCCTTCCCAAGACTGGTATTGGGGCCTGTTCTGGATTCAATTGTGTCCCTCAACTCTCCTAAAAAAAATTTATATATAAATAAATCCTAAACCCCACTACCTGAGGCTGTGACATCATATGGAAACATATACAGATGTGGTAAGTTATGATGTTCCCAGAGTGGAAAGGACCCAATCTCACGTAACTGCTGCCTTTATAAGACAATCATGTGAAGACAACTCTGGGAGACCAGGTGAATGCGGAGGACTGGGAAGCTGTGTCTATAAGCCAAGGAAAACTGAGGTCTGCCATCACCACCAGGAGCTGGAAGAGACAAGGAAGAGTCTCTCTAAAGGCTCCAAAGGAAGCACTGTCTGCAACATTTTGATCTTGGACTTCCAGCCTCCAAAACCACAAGACAATAAATTACTGCTGTTTAAGACCCCAGTCTGTGATATATTATGTAGGAAACCACTGCTGTTGTTTCTCTGCTTGTCTCAATTTCTTGGGGTCTTCTGGGTCACTTTCAAGACACCAAACCCAGGCACGGCCAGGTCTCTGACTTCATCTCTGTCTCCCCTCTTTGGAGTCTCTCACTTGGCTTCAGGAGAAATGTCTCTCATGTCCCTCTCTGTAAGGCCAACATCTCATGGTATGGATGAGATGGTCCCCTTCCCAGCTGTTTGTTTGTATGGTGGGGCCTGGGAGGTTTGGGGCATGGGTAGTAAGCCATGTGCTCCTGCTCTGGAGTCATCCTGTCAATCCAGATTTGCCAGCTCAGCTGGACTCGGCTCACCTCACCAGGCTGCCAAATGGTTCTTGCCCAGTCTGGCTTGACTAGCCAGGCTTCATGGTGTCCATTCTCCTGATTGCCTCTGTTTGCAATGACTTAATAACGGTCCCTTCTGCAGAAATACTCTGGGGCCAGCTGCCTAAAATTTCCCCTTTTCCCAGAAGTGAATGAGTGAGTGGATCAATACAAAGCTCATATAAGCTCAGATCCCGTGAGGCAATAAAGTGTGAGTTCTCCTGCTGGGCAGTCCTGGTTAAAATATTAGTACCAATATGAGTTGTGTGACCTTGGATAAGTCACTTACCTTCTCTGAGTTTCAGTGTCCTCATCGATAAAATGATGAGGTTACTGCAGGGATCTGATGAGATAATGCTAATCACAGATGCTTCCTAATCTAAACAAAGGTTAGCTACTTTATCATCCAAGACATGGGCCTCCATATGTCTTCTGCCTCATCCTGGGCCCTTGCTCAGAACCTGGTTTTCTTAGGTCCGACCTAATCTTTTTTGCACACATTGAGCTCAGCTCATTCATCCCCGCTGAGTGACTCACTGTCAGAGACAGCGGTTTGAAGAGGGAACAGAATGGCTAAGGTGCTGTAGGCTGGGTGCGTGGAGAGGGTCACATTCATTTCAGGAAACAGGATATGAAGAAAATGGTTTTCACATGCTAGAAGGAGCCCTGGACTACATGAACCCTGTCAGCTTCACCACCGATTAAAACGTCACAACAGCAGTATTGGCCTGCAATTGTGTCCTTAGGTGTGTTCCTATTGGAAAACACTCTCAGGCCACTAAAAAATAATAGCATGACTTGGTGGCTGTGCTTGTGGGAAAATAGCTGCTGTCCGTTTCAGAAGGTCACCTCTCTCTCCATTTATTTAAAATACGTAGGAGATTCAGTAGACAATTAACAGCCCATAAGAGATATGAAGAGACTCCATCTCCCACCCAGTTCCACTCCCTTGGGACCCAGAAGGGGTGAGGACAAAGTGGCGCTCAAAACACTGCAAAGTATGCTGGTGTCATCACACGGACTGTTGTCACTCATGTACCTTCTGCTGGGAGGAGGCTGGCACTGAGCACAACTTTTGAAGCCTGCAAGTGATGGTGCAAGCTATTTCAGTTTGCAAACCATTTCCATCTTTTGATCCTGTGTGAGAGGTGGTGAGAGAATTGAGACTCAGAGGGACATGGGATAAGCTTAAAGCAACTAAAGGGGTATAGGTGGGAGGAAAGCCTGGGCTCTCTCATCAGACTAAGGAGTCCTTGTCCCTCCCTGTCTTCTCCAGCAAACCCAGGAGCATGTCTGAGTCACCGGCCTGAGCACATGGCCTGGTGAAGAACACACTGAGCTGTAGCCTCTGTTAAAGTATTTAGTCTAATTTCAGATAGACTTAGCTACTCAGAAAGCCTTAAAGGAAGAGGAGAATTTGAGGAAACAGAACTGGCATTCTGACCAGTGCCAGATTAGGTTTTTTGTGCTTCCCAGATGCCAATGCTGGTAACTTCTGGGGAAATAAAGGAGACCCACTGGCTTATTCCTGGAAATTTCAGCGGCTTGTTGGTAATTCTCATCAGCTGGGTGCCTCTCACAACTTCTTTTCATTCATTCATTCATTCACTCATTTTTGCTGCACTGGGGCTTGAACTCAGAGCCTTCACCTTGAGCCACTCCACCAGCCCTACTTTTGTGAAAAGTTTTTCAAGATATGATCTTGTGAACTATTTGCCCAGGTCAGCTTCAAACCTCAATCCTCCTGTTCTCTGCCTCCTGAGTAGCTAGGATTATAGGTGTGAGCCACCAGCACCCATCCTCTCTCCCCCTCAACCCCCTCCCCGCCTCACATAAAGCATTTGCAAGAAGTTTCTTTGTTCTATTTCATATAAGTATATGAAGTCCATCAACCATCACTTAAAACATCTGACAAGGGTGCTGTGATGGTAGAAACCTGCACAACTAAGATGGAGATGACCACTAAAGACCCCAGCAAGCATTCTACAGAGAAAGCCAAAGTCTCACAGTCTTCTAGAACACCCATAAACAACAAAAATTATTTTCTTCTTTGCTGCCCCAGAACAGACCACTGACTGACCTTCTTGCCAAATTTCAGCTGGGTAAAGAAATCAAAGTTCATGGTTTCCAAGCTGTCTTACTTTTCCCTCTTCCCTCTTTGTTCTATTCAAATGTATCTGTTTGACCTTTGTTCTATATAAATCCTCTTCTTGAATTCTTAGATGAAGTCAGTCCACATTGGTTCCCCTGTCTACAAGTAAATAGCATGCAAATAACGAACTCAAATCTTGAGATTTTTTTTGACTCTAGGCTGCATCACTTGCAAGCTGGGAAACTTTTGGCATGCCATGTAACCTCTACAATAGGAGCATAATAGCTCTACCGCTGTGATTCTTGTAAGGGTGAAATAAAGTAATCCATGTAAAAAGTTATATACATTCCTGACGTACTAAAATGTCACTGCTGCAATGAAGTCAATGTTACAACACAATCAATGCTATTTCATTTGTATCAGTTTCCTCTTGCTGCTGTAGCGACTTAAAATAGCACAAATTTATTTTCCTATAGTTCTGGAGGAAGAAGTCTGAAGAGCTTTACAAAGCTAAAAGTCATCACTCAACAATGCTGCATCCCCTAGATGCTCTGGAAGAGGATCCTTTGTCTTTTCCAGATCCCAAAGTCTTCTAGCATCCCTTGGCACCTGGTCCCAGCCTCAGAACCTGCAGTGTAAGCGTCTTCTGGTCTCTCTCACTGCCACTGTACTTTCCTCTTATAAGGACCCCTATGATTACACTGGGCCCACATGGACAATCCAGGTAATATCCCCATCTCCATAAAGTTAGCTCAATCGCATCTGCAAATTCCCTACTGCCATATAAGGCAGCAGATAAATGCACAAATTAGAATATATTTGTAGGCTCTCGCATTGGATGGTAGACATCTTGGGGATCTATCAGAGTCATGAATCTTTTTACTAAGACCCGTTTAACGCAATCCTCATTAGACCCCTTGAGGTAGAAACAAGTTCCCTCTGGAAACTGAGGCACAGAGAAATTAAGGCCCTTGCCCAAGCTCAGAGAGACAGAAAGAGGTGCGAGAGCAATTCCAACCAAGGAAGCCGGCTTCTGGAGTCCAGAAGTTCTTACGAGCCTAACTATGTGAAAACGGTGCAGAATACGCAGTTCGTTAACGTCAGCCATTATTTCTCCCAAGATTAACCATCATAATCTTTAGCCCACATGGCTTTTGTAAGAATCAACTAACGTGTGAAGAGCAATAGTGCCTGACAAACACAAGGTCTTCAAATAATACCTGTAATTTTCCTGTTCTAGTAACCCGCTTTTTTTTTTTTTCCACTATGAGACGCCCAGTTTACTTCATCCGCCCCAAGATGGCGTCACTCTTCTCCACCACCCGATTCTCCTTACTCAAGATGGCGTCCATTGCACTGAAAGCCATATTCCGCCCTTCTCAATATGGCGCCAACACTAGCCCTTCTTGTCTTCCGCCCTCTTTAAGATGATCGTAACAGTTTCATCCCCTGACACACCCTGACCTTCCCCAAATGGTGGCAAACACTACGCATCGCGTACCGACCTTCTTAAGATGGCGCCAACGTCGTAAACTCAGGTCGCAAATGCTCGCAAGCTGAGCGTCGCTCTCCAGAACACTTCCGGTTGCGCCGCAGACAGGCTTAGGAGGCCTGAGGGTTGCGGGAGGGTGGACATTAGGACGGGCCGCTCTGGCGCGACCATGGACCGTAGGAAGAAGCCTTTGGACGTTACGGCCTCCTCGGTGAGTGTGGGTATGGCATGAGACTACCGGCTCTGTTCTCCTCGGCTTCGTCAGACAAGAATCCCGACCTCGCCTGTTTCAACATCCAGGTGCCTGGACCTGGTCAGGTTCCTCACCTGGGCCTTTGCCCTCTGACAGGCACCCCGGCCGGCCTTCAGCCCTCGCGGGAACTGGACCTGGTGTCTTCGGGCTTGGAGCCTCCGCCGCAGCCGGCCCGGCCTCCTTCCCGGCAGGGCCGGACCCCGCCGGCCTGCCCCCGTGGGAGCGGGGGGCTGGAGGGAGGCGGGGACCCCGGCTCCAGGGTCCCGAGGCCGCCAGGACCGCCCCGATCCCAGGGCTCGAGCGCGGGTGGCCCAGTAGAAGCTGTGAGGGCCGCACCGCCACCGCCCGGTTCCCGGATGGCGGAGTCAGGCTTTCGGGCCCCGGCGCCTGCAGGTTGCAGGACCCGGAACGAGCTCGCCGCAGAGGATGCAGCAGGAGTTCAGAGGAAGACATCGGTTCCTTTCCCGATCCAGTGCCGACAATTGGCATTCGTTATTATGCTCGCTTGAACCAAGCACTGTAAATATTACAGTCAGCCTGTCCTGATGGGTTCAAAATGTCAGTAATGGCCATCTGGGAGTCGATGAGTTTGTGATCATCTTTGTTTTACACTTCAGAAATTGTTGAAAGAAATTGTTTTTTCTTTTCTTTTTTCTTCCCTTCCTTTCCTTTTCCTTCCTCCATTCCCCCTTTCTCCCTTCCTTTCTTCCTCCCCTCCCCTCCCTTTTTCCTTTCCTTCCCTTTCTCTTTCCCTTTCCTGTGCTGGGTGTTGAATTGAGGGCCTCCTACTTACTAAGCAGGGTCGTTGACCTGCTCCACTCCCAGCTCTTTTTGTGTTGGTTATTTTTTGAGGTAGGGTTTCTTGGAGGTGGGGGTGATCTTGCACAGCCACTTGTTGAAATGGGGTCTGGTGAACCTTCCGTCCACACTGGCTTCCAACCAAGATCCTATCTAGCATTATATAGGGTTGAGCCACCATGACAGGCATCATTTGTTTTAAGAATTTAGAATCCTAGGTCCTGGGATGAAGCTGTCTTTTGCATTATTAAAATCCTTGCCAAGATTACATCTAAACTGATTTCTTCCAAATAGAAACCATTGAACTCTGGTATTTTTACTTTTCCATAAATGTCACTCAGTGTTGTGTATCTGATTTACAATGCCGTACTTATAAGCATTTGTACCTGGATCCTTAGAAAGGAAATTGTCAAGTCAGATGTAGTGATGCACACAGCACTCAGGAGGTCAAGGCAGGAAGATCAAGCATTGGAGGCTAGCCTGGACTGTATGAGGAGACTCTCAAGCCTCCCTCTACACCTCGCCCCCTTTTTTTTCTGATTATTTAGTGGTGACTGATAGAGCTGACGGATAGTTGCAAGTATTTGCCCAGCTGCTCTGTTCCGTAAACTTGGGCCTTTTTTCCCATTCTTGAACTGTGATTCAGCTATATTTAGAGTTTCCAACTTGAATCTATACTTATCATTTACTAAATCTGCTGTATTTCTAGCTGTTGAAAGTTCGCTTATGTTTTGAAGCTCAGCTCAAAACTTTCTCTGATCCCTGTGGATAGCAGGAAATGCTCTATAATCTGAATTTCTATGCTATTTCTTCCATTCTAAAGTCACTTACCACCTTTGTTGCTGTTAACAGTTATCTTGGTAATACATTGTAGCTCTTGGAGGCAGGGAGTATGTCTGATTCATAGTTGTACCTTGCTCTTCAGTGTTAAGTGCCAGGCACAAAGTTAGTGCTCAGATAGGTGCTGAATGAAAACATTTCCTTGTAGACATAGTAAATTGTTATGATTGAGATCACTGCATGAAAAGCATGTGCAGAGCCCCTCAGAGAGCAGAGCTTCATAGTGTTTGTTGAATCTGAGGCCAAGGATGCAGACTCTACCTGTGTACTTTGTCAGAGGAGAGTCCCAGTGTTAAAAGTCAGAGTAGAAATACATTTGCAATAGAACTGGACTGAAATTTGACTTAGTTTAATTTTGTATTGGAGTCTACATTTAAACATTGAATTTTGTGTCCATTGAGAGGAAGCTGAAATACTGATTTGAGAATTATAATAATTTAGCAATCCAAGCACCTGTCAGAATTGAATAAAATATTTTTGTTTACTTACTGGTTTTATTCTAGTTGGTAGATCTTAAGGCCGAACTCTTCCGAAAACAAGAAGAATTCAAACAAGAAAAACTTCTAAAAGATTCTGGAGTTTTGGGAAAACCAAAGACAAGTAATAAGGTAAAAATAAGATCCAGTTATCTCCATTGATCCCAAACCTGGGAGAATTAACACATGGAAAAAATCCCAGTCTTGTAGTTGAACATTTTCATGAAGTGTATTAAATATTAAAATATAAATCAATAAGCTTATTTAAATTGCATTGTATACTACTTCTTTAGTATTTCTTTTGGATTGTTCACTTTCTCATGGGAGATTATTGTGTAGTTACTCTGCACCAAAACACAGATAAACAGTAATACAGCAAAAAATATTAGGGTCTTTAAGAATTGTAAATGGTTTTCAGTTGTATAGGTCATTGTATTTCCTATCTGTATCACTCATTCTCTGTAATAATGTACATCTTCATTGGAGTCTTAGATTAGGTCATAATCATTAGCTGATAAAAGACAGAAGTAACTTCATACACTTTATGAGGAAATTTTTTGTACAATGTGCAACATTTTTCAGCTGCAGCTTTGCCGTGTGCAATCAATCTGTGAGACATAGGTTAGTTGTCAGAAATGTATTTATTTCCATGATTCATGTGATCTGCTGATCTCTCTTTTTGATGTACAGGTAGAGAAATTTTTGTAATCACATGGTGGTTCTCTTTTGTTCTTTTGAATTATTCTCCAGAAGCCGAGTATTTGGAGCAAACAGAACGCAGGAGTTTCAAACCGAGATGAGAAGGACGCTGAGCAGAAGGTCGAGGAACAGAGAACCTTAGATAAAGCCAGGTACAGTCACTTTGAGACTGCCCAAGCAAAGTAATGGATGTTCACATTTTGCTCTTTTTGATTAACAAAAGAAAATATTTTGGCAGTATTGGAGTTTGAACTCAGGGCCCCAACTTGCTAGGCAAGTGCTCTTATCACTTGAGACACACCCTCTGTCATTTTTGCTTTAGTTATTTTCTGGATGATGTCTCAGCATTCCTAAACTGTAGTGCTCCTGCCTGTACTGCTGATGCTGGAATTACAGGCGTGCACTACCCTACCTAGCTTGTTTTTGATATGGGGGTCACACTAACTTTTTGCCTAAGCAGGCCTGGAACCACTATCCTCCCATTCTCTACCTCCTGAGAAGCTGGGATTACAGTTGGGAGTCACTGCACCTGGCCATTTGATGTACAAATTTGATGTACAGTCCTCTTTCTAACTAGTACTCCATAAATATAATTGTGCCTTGATATCTGAGTGGCATTGCTTGGTTCCAGGACCCTTCCTTTTTCCTGTAGATACTAAAAATCTGAGGATGCTCAAGTCCCTGTTATAAAATGACATAGTATTTGCATGTAACCTGTGCAATCGTGTATACTTTTTGTGGGGAGTAGGGTACTGGGGTTTGAACTCTGGGCCTCATGCTTGCTAGGCAGGTGCTCTAGCACTTGAGCCACTCTACCAGCCCTCTTGTGTACTTTCAAGTCCTTTCTAGGTTCTTGTTATGCCTAGTGCAATGCAAATGCTAAGTAAATAATGACTAATGTTTGGTACAAATAGACATTTTTCTGACTTTTTAAAAAAGTTTATTCTTTTTAGATAGTGTCTCATTATGTTACCCAGACTTGCCTCAAACTTGTAGTCCTTCTGCCTCCGCCTCCCTGGTGCTGGGATTATAGGCATTGGCCAATACACCCAGTTCTATATATCTTTGCTTCCCATTTAGTGGGATGTGGAACCTGTGGGTATGGAGGGTCTGCTGTCCTCTTAAAAATAATCTCATCTGCATATGTATCTGTTGTCTTGTAAAAAGACAAGCAGTTTCAGTTTAAAAGATGATGCAGTCCTGCTTTGAGCCTTTGTTAGACACTAATATTATCAGCAGTTTTTATTTTTCATTTTCTGGGGCTAGAACTCAGGTCTTGCACATGCTAGGCAAGTGTTCTACTGCTGAGCTACGCTCCAACTCCATCAACAAATTTCTAAGAATTCTCCCCATGGTGTGTTTCTGGGCTAGGTGGTCTGACATTAGCATTTAGAAACCCAAAACTTTTTCCTCCAACTCAGCAGAAAAATTGAAAGAAGGGTACAAGAAACATCCTAATATTCTTCACCAACTAAGGCACTATCACATTTGCTTTCCTTTCCTGCCTCCCTTTCCTCCCTCTCATGCATGCGTGCACACAGGGACAGCATATATCTTGTAAGAACAAGGTAATTATCCTAAACAATTACAACACTGACAAACACTGAAATTCAACATTCTTCTGTGATCTGTATTTCAGATTTTACTGATATAATTGTATCCTATACAAGGTTTTTTAAATATTGAAGATTCAGAAATTACATCTTGCATTTAGTTATTAAACATCTTTACTCCCTTCATTATCAGCTTGATCTGATTGAGAGGTGCCTAGGAGATCAGTATAACCACAACTCTGGGTGTGTCTGAGAGGATGTTTCCAGAGACATTGGGGCTCTGACCTAGCTCACTGATGGATTAAAATTTCGAATATTGGGAGTGGTAGGACTGTAGGAAGTGGGGTCTGGTTGGAAAAAGTAGGCCACTGAGGAGTGTCTTTGCAGGGCCTCTCTTGCTCTGGCCCCTTCCTGTCTTCATTCTGCTTTTTGGTTGCCATGAGTTGAACATTCTGCTCCACCACGCCCTCCCTGCTATAGTGGACTGAACCCTCTGAACCGATGAGCTAAAATAAATCCTTCCTCTATTAAGTTGTTTATGTCAGGCATTTGATCACATAATAAAAAGTCTGACTAACACAGTCCCTTTTAATCTACAATTCCCTTGCCTTTTGCTGTCTGTTATCTTATTGACCTTTTTGAAAGGTCCAGACCAATTGTTTGTACAATGTCCCCAACTGAGTAGAGTCACATTAAGGTTTCTGGTTAAGAATACCATGTAGGCGGTGTGTCTGTCCTGTTCAGTCATATCCAGAAGCTTCTAATGCCACTTTGAACCATTATTGGTGATGGCAATTTGGTTGCTTGGTCAGGGAGGGCTTCTCCGTTGTGAAGGCACCCTTCTCCAATTCTTGCTAATAGCAACCTGAAGAGGGAAGCTTTGAGACGGTGTGGATGCCCTGTTCACCAACACACTTCCATGTCATGATGTGACATTGCTGATAAGTTTTGATGGTTTCAGAGTGATGGTTTTCTGATTCTGTCAGTCAGTCTTTTTTATCTTCTTATTCTGTTTATTAGCTGGCATTCTTCTGTAAAGAAAAAACCGTATCTCCCTGGGCTCAGAGAATCCCAAGTTGTCACATCTGTCATGGTGGCAGTCGTGCTGTTGGATACACTGCACAATAATGCTGCAGCTGCAAACACTGGTTGCCAAGCTTGTGGACTTGTTTTTCTTAGCATTTGACCTGAGACTTTTCCTAAAGATAAAATCATTTTTTCCCATTGCTAAATCTGACTGGCTTTAAAAAAAAAAGATCACTTTTGAGGCAACTTATTCTTAGAATTTTAATTTTGTGAAAAGGTACTACTGTACTCTTTTTATTATCAGATTCTCTGTGTATCAGCGTTTTTCTTGCACTTTGTTACGCTTTTCTGTCCAGTAACTTTTCTGTAGTGCTTTGTTCTCACTACTTGGGAGGAGTCAAGACTGTACACAGTCTGCAGGGTATTTGTCTCTCTCCTGGGCTCAGACAGACAAGAACAATCTCAGGCTTCTCCCATGAGTTGTAAGGCTTTGGGCAAGTTTCTTATTCATGAAGATTCTCAGTCTGTGAAATGGGGAGGTTGTTGCTGAGCCATGATACCCTGTAGAGGGTTGAAGGAGAGATCTGTGTCTGGCACACACAGGTTGCAGGCAAGCGTCCTGTACCCTTGTGCTCTGAATTCTGTCTTTCATATTTGACTGAAGAAATAGTTCTTGAAAGTCACTAAGGACATGATAGCCTTCTCTACAAATCTAGCAGCCATTTCTCAGGCTTCCTCCCTGATCTTGGTTATTCCTTTGTTGGCTATTGCTGCTGTCTGCACCCAACTCCTTACCCTTTCCCAGATACCTTGCCCCTGCCTGTCCCTCTGTGTTTATTTGCATCACTCTCTGCTTTGCTGTTTGAGCATATCAAGCTCATTGCCACTTCATGTTTCCTTTGCCTGACATGCTGTGCCCAACCCATCTGCCTGTGGTTGGCGTCTTCTTGCTGTGTAAGTTTTAGTTCGCTTGTCACTTCAGAGGGGCTATCTTGACATCTGTTGTTAAAATTTTTTTTTTAAGTTTTCTTTTCATAAAGACACTGAGTCTATGATGACACAGCTTACTACATGAGACTCCTCTAAAATGAGCAACTTTGCCTGTTAGAAGCCTGATGTGACTAAGACAGTCCATAGAGCACTCCATTAATGCACAGCAGCCCTCCATCAGCGGCCCTGCCTCTCGTTTCTTTCACAGCACTTCTCACCACCTGTAATTCTCTTTTTCACTGATTTACTTATTGCCTCTCTCTTCGTCCTTTAGAACAGCAGCTCCATGAAAGCTGGGGCTTTGTCTTGTTCCTCTGAGTCCTCACCATCTAAAACAGTGCTTGGTACATGGGAGACATGCAATGAGTACTTGATTGAATGCACAAAATAAAGGTGGGATCTTGCTGACATAGAAGAGATGGAGGCAGCATGGCTTTATCCATTATCTAATTAATCTTCAAGACAGCCCTTACATGCAGTACAGTTTTGTTTTTCATCTGTATTTGTGGTATCAGAGGCAAAAGAAGGTTAAGTAACTTGTCACAGCCATGTGACCCAGGGAGTCTGTAGCCTCTGGTTGCCATTAGAAATTGTGCATATGGTTAAGTCTGATCACTCACAAGAGAAGGCCCAGGTAGACTCCTTGGGGTTTCTCTTCTGCATCACTAAATATTTCCAGAATAAAGAATTTCTAGTCCTCTTATCTCCTCTCTGCCCACTAAAAAAAATGTCACCAGAATTCATACGAGCAGAGAGGCTGTTTTGTTGAAATGCCAGGGTTGTTGTTTGCTTTATATTAGCAATGTGTCACAAATACATTATTCATGTTCTCTTTAAAATAGATTTTATCATTTTTTAACAGACTTATAAGAACTTGGTCTCTGGGCCCCTGAGAGAAGCCTAATAAGTCACGGGTGACCAGACCTTGGTCTAAAGACAGTAATGCAAAAGGTTTTGCCTTTAGTTTGGTGATCCTTTCCCAAGGTTGCCTGCTAGGCAGGTGCTCTACCACTTGAGCCATGTCTCCAACCCTTTTTGCTTTAGTTAGTTTTTGAATAGGCTCTTATGTTTTAGCCCAGGACAGCTTGGACCATGATCCTTCTATTTATGCCTTTCTTATCGCTAGGATTGCAGGCATGAGCCTCCTTGCCCAGCAGCATCTTTCTTTTTTGCCATGTGTAATCTAAGTTACATTCAGCAGTTAAATTAAGTTGTTGGACTTTCAACTCAGTTTGTTCATTTATTCATTCATCACTATTCATAAAGCAGCTACTATGCACTGGGTATTGCTTTAGGTGCTGGAATGTGATGATGCATAAGAGAATGCAGGCCATGTTCTTGCGAGCTTCTGTTTTTGTTGGCAGAGAAGATGGATTGGACCTGAGGGTCTTCTTAGGACAGGGCAATCAGCACTGGTTCTGCCCACCTTGTCAGAAAAAGGCTTGGAGGAGATGGCTGCCATTAGGCCCAAGGGTGTGGTAGCCTTACCAGGAGGGATGGTTGTAAGACTATTTCTAATTCTTGTCTTTTTTTCTCCTAGGGAAAAATTGGAAGAAAAAGCCAAATTATATGAAAAAATGACTAAAGGAGACTTTATAGGTAACGCAATGGTTTATTTGTACCTTATTTTCTTTAACTCATACAGATCTTAGATATTTATTTCTTCAAATAATGTAAGAAAAGGAAGAAATTTTAAAAGTCAAATCAAAATTTTACTTTCAGTGGCTACACAGAGATTAAAAAAACCCACAGTAATTTGTGGTTGCCCAGTGGGTGCTGGGGAGTGTTTTAGGTGTTGGAGGGTTCGGTAAGTACAGGGGAGCCAGGGGCCTGTCTGTGCCTTTAGGGCAGGTGTTGTCAGGGACAGGGAAAGGGGACAAAGCCCAACAAGGTTTAAATAGACCACAGTTATGTATGATTATAGCTGTGTTTAAAGAAAAAGAAAGACCAGGTGGATTTATGGTTGTATCTGGATGCTAGGGTGATGTTTCTTTTTTCCCTATTTTTCCTCTATTATCAATTTTATTTCTGTGGCTGTGCTTATAAGTGTTTTAAAATAGTTGTAATAATAAAACTCCCTTTCCTCATACTTCTAATTCATGGAAAACCTAATTCACAGTTGGAAAGCAGTAGAAGAGATGTGAGGGCAGTACACATTCATTGCTAGAAGGCAGAATAGTACTCTCCTACTCGTGTGCTTAGGGCATTTTCAGGAGAAAGTAGCCGTGATATGGGTCCTGAAGGCTTTAGAGAACTGGAGAAAAGGGGTCTGCTGGGGGAAAGTGGTGAGAGCAGGTCGGTGGGGGAAGGGCAGGGCCAGTGTTTAGCAGGGCTGCCTCCCCTGGAGATGAAGCAGCAGGGCTCCGGGGTCCAGGAATGGAGAAGCAGGGCTGAGTCTGGGCCACCAGCTGCCTCTTCCCACAGCAGGGAGCCTGAAGCAGGAAGGTCAGACACTCGCAGAGCTGGGAGATATAGGGAGGCTTTGTTGCCTTCCTGAAGAAGCAGCAGGGTGGCGGTCAGTAGGCAGCCTCACTCAAGTGCTCCTACCCCTCAGTTCTCTTCCCTTAGTTTTTGAAGTATTTTGTGGCTTTAAGAACATTTTTATTGCCACGAGCCAATAAAATAGGAATACAGGCTCATGCCTGTAATCCTAGCTACTTGAGAAACCGAGATGAGGAGGAGTATGATTTGAGGCCAGCCTGGGCAAATAGTTCTCAAGACCTCATCTCCAAAATAGCCAGAGCAAAATGGACTGGAGGTATGGCTCAAAGTAGAACACCTGCTTTCCAAGCATGAAGCCCTGAGTTCAAATTCCAGTCCTACAAAAAAAAAGATAAATAAAAATAAAAAACAAAACAGTAAAAATCTTATTTATTTTATTCTTTTCTCTTTTGATTCAAGCTTATATTGTCCAGAACAGACACCAAGTCCAAGGACTATGGAAGTGGAGGTCTGATTTGGTCAAAACTGCCAGGTCCATATCCTGATAGGAATATTGATCCTGCATGTTCGGGCCAATTTTGAAGTATCAGGTTATTTCCACTCCAGAGTCGGGGCTGCCCCACCTCCTGATGACAGGAAACCTAGTAGCTGTTCAGTATAGCTTAGTCTTCATCCTCAGAGAAAAAGACTCAAGTGTATCCTAAATTCAGCTTAGCAAGACTTCACAGAGCATTATTTGTGCATACAGAGCTATCCTGAGTGAAATTAAAGCTGTGGATTGCTGTATCCTGGTCAGTATGTGTTTTAGCTCTTTATGTGTAAGCCCTGAGGGTGCACAGTGTTCTGCACGTTTTGTGCCTTGCCAGCAGAACCTAGCTCCAGGCCCTTCCTGAAAGCCATGTCTGTTGGCTTGAAAAGAGCTCAGATGACTTCTTTCACTCCTGTTATACCCTTTAGAACACTTCCCTATCATCAAGATGTAGTAAGGGTTAAGTGCTGCAGCCCGTGTGTTCAGAAAGGCTTGTCACACCTGCAGCAGAAAAGGACTGCTGTCCTGATCTGTAACAGGAGAAATGCTATTCTGCTTCTCTCACATGTCATTAGCCGTGAAGTGCTTAAAATCAAGTGGCTGTGTTGTCTTAAGATGTCATTCTGAGACTGTATTGCTTATCAGATAGTACACTGAGGCAGCCAAAAACTTGAGGGTTTTTAAAGGTTGTTCTGTAGTGGTCCATGTTTCCGATGGCCTGTTGTCAGGTGCCAGGTGACTCTGTGTCTTTGTAAGCTGTCTGGGGATGGAGGCATCAACTGTGATCTGTTAGTCACTGGAGCCACCAGCTGATGAACGTACCAGTTACAGGCATGGTTTCCTTTTTTGATGTCAAAAATCTAAAATTGGTTTTTGTTTCCTAGATGAGGAAGTGGAGGATACACACCTCGTGGATTTCACACAGAAGATCGTAGACAAACGTAGAGCAATGGAAGCGACTGGTGCCAAAAGAGAGTTCCAGAAGGGAGGGGAAAGGGACGATGAAGATCTTCCTGAAAGAGACACGCCTCCTCCCCAAGACCCCAGCGAGGAATGGTGGGTGACACGGGTTAGAGCAGAGTGGCTTCCTCAGACTAGCATTGGCACTTTGAGAGTTCAAGAGTGATTTTGTTTGGTTGATAGCATACCATATCTTCTTACTTTCCTTGGATATTCTGTCTGTTAAGACCACTTTTTAAGTTAGGTTGGATTAGCATATTGTAGATGTAGAAACAGGAGCATTTGCTGGCTTTTTGTCAGCTTCTGGCCCTGGGGACAGTAATTTTATGAGCTGAAGAGAACAGTTCATGCTTCTGTTAATAGCAGAGACCCTCATCTTCATACTACTGAGGGGTTCATAGTGGTTCAGAAATAACATTTTCATTGGGATCAAACAGGTGTCTTCTTAAAAACTTACATCTTAAGTTAGCAACCATTTGGGTAGCTCTGGTTGCAGGCTATAACGAGCCAAAAGAAGAACATACAGTCTATTTTGTCAGGGTACTTCTTCATCGTTTCTAGTCTAAGTGATTGCTCATTCATATGAACTTGGCTGGCACTTAATATATTTCCTGCTTCTTGGGTCTTAGCTTTTATTTATGGTTGACACTTGCCAGGCCTAACTACCAAGCTTTTGTTTAGGTTTATATCCTGCCTGACTTGTTAGTAAGGTTTCTCAGCATGTGCTCCGCTTCCCCAGGCCTCTATTGAGATGTCAGGACTCAGTCCTCCTGGATCATCCTGGCACCTCCAGGGTTGCCCCGGTGGGAGCTGCTCAGTAAGCAATTGCTGATGAGCTAGAGCAGCTGCTGACTACTCTCTTCCCTTCTCTGAGTTGGTAGGAGCTGTATGTTTTGGAGGCCTACTCCAGAACAGAATAGTCTGTGATTGCTTTTCAGAGCAGAAATCTCATCTCCTTTGAAAGGTTTAATGTCTTCAAATTTTTGCTTATTAATGCCTGTATGATTACAAGCAATTTGCCAACAATTTGAGGAGTTTGGAGGGCAATTGAAGGTGTCACATACTGCAGTGGTGAAGTGAGACACACTGCAAGCAGTTCTGATGGTTTTTTTGTGGTTTTTAAGTTAAACTCCAGAATTGTAACTGCTTGTAAAAACAGTTCCAGGTGGTAGAATATCTTTCTGCAAAAATAGTGTAAATAGTTGCACAGACCATCTGGCTAGATGATTTTCTTCTCAAACCCCCCCCCCGCCCAGCTGCCCCCCATTCATTTAAAAAAAGGAAGAAACTACTTTCTGTAGTTGGGGGTTTTATTTCTTGTGGTAATCAGCTATAGGATGATTGTAGTGGACTTCCATTTATTCAGTTTTTAGATCATGGGCTAACAGTGGAAATCAGCATTGCTGAGGCAAGAAATTGCTAATAAAAGCAAATCTACATCTATGCTGAGTCTGACCTTGAATTGGTCGACTAACTAGCATATATTGATCCCTTATTGTGTGTTTAGCACCATGCTGTAGGAGATATTTGTCACAGATCTCAAACATGTTCCATGAGAACCTGCACATATTTTTTTTGGTTATACTGGGGTTTGAACTCAGGGCTTTGTGCTTGCTAAGCAGCCACACCTCCAGCCTGTTTTTGTCTAGTTATTTTGGAGATGTTATGTTGGAGACAGGGTCTCGCTTTTTGCCTAGGCCAGCCTGGACCAGATCCTCTTATTTCACGCTTCCAGCAGTAGCTGGGATGACAGGTGCACACCACCATGGTGTCTCACAAACTTTTCTCCCGGGGCTGGCCTGGAACTGCTGTCCTCCTGATTTCAGCTTCCCACATTGCTTGGGAAGACAGATGCATGCCACTGTGCCCCACTGTTGATGAGATGGAGTCTCGTGAACATTTTGCCTGGGCTGGTCTTGAATTGTGATCCTCCTAATCTCAGCTTTCCAAGTAGCCACCAGCTCCTGGCCACAATTTCTTTTGGTAGAAAGTCACAATATTTGTGACACAATTATCAAGTGAGACCTGAGGGAACTGAGGAAATGAGCAATGAAAACCTGGGGTACAAAGTAAAGTTATTAAGATGTTGATAAACTATCTGGAGTTGTCTGCACTAAAGTATGTTCTTCATTGTCACAGCAAATTTCTGTATTGGTGACTTATCTTTGAAATCAGAGACATAAATGATCAATTATTTTCTACAGTTTCTAAAACTAAGATTGCTAGAAGGTACAATAAACTTGTTGTCTATGAACTTCTAACTTTAAAAAGCATTTTCTCAGTGGTAGTGGTCCCTTAGGTTCGGGATTCCTCTTGGTAATGAGACCTATACTATTCCTTTTTTAAAAACTGAAATATTTATTTGTATATTTGTAGCACAACAAATTAGTTCTCAAGATAGAATTCTTTTGACTGAATTCACAGCTGCATTCGCCTTACCCATATTCCTTCTTCACTATGTACCTGCTCTCCAACTGAGGGAACTGCACATGTGTACAAAACCTTCTTCAGAGCTTCTCACTTTTATTTCAGGGTGGATTATGTGGACTCTTTAGGGCGATCCCGGCGCTGCATGAGGAAGGATTTGCCAGATCTTCTAGAGATGGATAAAAATCTTCAGGGGAGACTGTAAGTGTTGATAAACCTTGGCCTGCCCAGAGATTGATATGCGGAAGGGCATATCAATTATAATTAATTATCTTTGTTGTTCCAGTAAAAAGATGTGGGGGATAGGGGAGTATAGAAGAATATTTCCTGACACAGTTTTTAGTAGTTAGCATGCCTGTATGCACAGAACGTACACTCAGGGGTCATCTGAATGGTGTGTCATCGTTTTTCGTTTTGAGACTATGTTGCTCAGGCTGGCCTTGAATTCCTGGGCTTTAGCTAACCTCCTGCTTCAGCTAGGTATGTGGGACACAAATGACACAAGCCCACCCCTGCATATGCAAACCCCGTGCCTGGCTCTGATCATCCATATATGCAGCTACTGACAGGGATGAGTAGAGCTACATCTTTTTATTTGGAAATGTGTCTAATTAAAGAGTAACAAAAATGATCCAAACATTGTAAGCACATATGAATAAAAGAAAAAAAAAATCTATAGAGCATTTCAACCCCCCCCCCAAAAAAATAAAGAGTAACAAATATGTAATGAACTCAAAACCAACAAACCAACCTTTGTGGACAAAGGGGTTTGAAATATACACTTGCTTATTCCACAGGCAAGTAGGGCCAGGAAAATAGTTAGCTTATTCACTTTTTCTTTTTCTTTCTTTTTTCCTGGTGCTACTGGGGTTTGAACTCAGGCTCTTGTGCTTGCTAGGCAGGCACTCTACCACTTGAGCCATGCCCCTAGCCCTTTTTGCTTCATATATTTTTGAATAAGGTTCTGCTTTTATGCCTGGACTGGCCTGGACTTCAGTCCTCCTATTTACACTTCCCACATAGCTGGGACGACAGACATGCACCACCACACCCAGCATTTTATTGGTTAAGATGGGGGTCTTGCTGTATGCCCAGGCTGGCCTTGAAATGTGATCTTCTGATCTCTGCCTCCTGAATTGCTGGTATTACAGACTATGGACATAAGCCACCATGCTCTGCTCACTTTTTCTTTATACTGGCCTTATAACTACATTTTTTGTGGGACCTAAGAAATAACTTGCTTAAACATGTGGGGACTAAAATTCCTTTTATCCCAGGCAACTTTTGTATGAAAAGTGTTAGGAGAAGCTTCACCTTATTTGAGCTCTCCAGAGTTGGGCATCCTACAGTAGGCCTGGACTCTGCATAAAGAATGGAGAACAGAAACCTCAGCCATCTCCAGGACAAGAGGCTCTGATCCACACAGTGTTAGTCAGCTTCGATGTCCCTGGATAAGAGGCAATCCAAAGAAGGCTGGGAGTACCAGGGTAGAAAGGAAAGTTATTTGTCTTTTATGTTTTTTTGGAAATAGGGTCTTGCTGTATAGCCCAGGCTGGTCTAGAATTCATAATCTTCCTTCCTCTGTCTCCCGAGTTCTGGGATTGCAGGTGTGCACCACTGCAGCCAGCTTTTAAATTATGTCTTGAGTGCTGAGGCAGTTCCCTGTCATGCTATGTAACAAGTCTGGTGCTTGATTTTAAAAAAGATGAAAACAGTTTTTTTATTTTCTAATTGTGTTGTAGATCAGAAACCTTTATAGGGAACTGTTGTCTTTATCAAATAGTGTTTCTTATCCATGGTCAAACTGACAGCATTTGGGTATTGCTGTCCTAGCACTCTTATCTGAAGATAGCTTTTGCTCTGTTCCTCTACTAGCTTTGTTAGTCCGGCTAATGAAAAAACCTTACTATCTGAGGACATGAGGAAAGAGCTTCAGCGGCAGCAATGGGAAGAAGAGGAGAGGGAGGCTCTGAAAAGGCCCATGGGGCCCATCCATTACGAAGACATCCGGGAGAATGGTACCATTGTTTTCCTGTACTAATGGCAAGCGTGAAGGGAAGTATTCAGAAAGCAATGGCTCTGACATAGAAATCCAAGATTCTGCTTGGAAATTGAAAGTTCCTCTTGTTCGCTTCATGTACTCATATTGGGAAAGTCTTCCTAACAGAGGGTCTAGTAATATCCAGGAGTTCTTTCCCAAAGGGAAATGAAGATAGCCACAGCTAAAAGTCAGTGGGTCTTTGTTATGCTTATCACTTGGCAAACAAGAAGAAAACCAGTAATTTTTTTCTTTTTTAACTTCACAGCTTTTTTTTGAATGTGACGTTCAAATCACTGTTGTTTCTTTTGGTTTTTTAGGAACTTTGGCTCGAGTGTGGTTTACTGATCAGAGAAATCTAATCTTTGGAATAATTTGACTTGTTTCAGAGGCCCGGCAACTTGGTGTTGGTTATTTTGCTTTTGCCCGAGACAAAGAGTTGAGAAACAAGCAAATGAAAACTTTAGAAATGCTGCGTGAACAGGTACAGATTAAATTCAAAGTCAGTGTTAAGGATTTGAGAGGTTGATTTCTGGTTGGACCATAATGCAAAAAAATGTAGTAAACAAAATTGGAAATTAAAACAGATATTTACAGTGTCACGGTGGGTGGTGTAAAGGTAATTGCTATATGCTCTGGTGTTTCACACTTTAAAATCAGAACTGTTTCAAGATACTCACGAGGCAGAATCCTGTGCAGAAAGGTTAGTGAGACTTCATCTGAACAAACAAGCTGAGCATGTAGCTGAGCTGTAATCCCATCTGTATAGAGGTGTAGGTAGGAGGATTGTAGTTCAAGGCCAGCCTGGCAAAAAGCACAAAAAAAATTAAAGCATAAAGGGCTGGAGGTGTGGATCAAGTGGTAGAGCACCTTCTTACCAAGTGCAAGGCCCTGAGTTCAAACCTCAGTACTGCCGAAAAAAAAAAAGAACTGTTTCAGAAGTAACCCATGTAACATTGATGTTTTAAGTCAAAGTGGCCTAGGTGAGAACATAAGTTATCTAAGGGATTAAGAAGTAGATAAGAATTGGATGGTTTTCGTGAATGTAAAGCCTTCCAAGATGCTCTGAGCTTTTACTAAACTTCATAAGACATCAGGGAACTAGTGCTTCATAGGTCTTTATTTTTAGGGTCTCAAGGATAGCTTCTTAGAGATGCCATGAAAATCAATTAGTCTCTTTTTAAAAGAAAATTATTTCATCCTTTTGAACAGAAATATTATGAATATGGCTTCAAGCAAATAATTTCCTAACTTTCTGTTCAGACAACAGATCAGAGAACAAAACGAGAAAACATTAAGGAAAAGCGAAAGGCTATGTTAGAAGCAAGACTTGCCAAGCTTCGACAAAAAAAGATGAAAAAATCAAAAGATGGAACAGAAGAAGAAAGTGGAGGTATACCATGGCTCAGATTTCTGAAGTTCAAAAGGGAAATATTTAGTTCCATTGATATCTCACTAATACGGCTGGCAATACGGGAATTAGCCATTTAGTTTCATCTCTAAGCAAGCAGTGCACCTTTGAGGCACTACAAGGAGCAGTATTTATGGTGCAGAAGGACACTGCAGTGGTTTGTGTTTTTTTATTTTGTTTTGATCTGTTTTTGTTTTTGGCAGAACTGGGGTTTGAACTCAGGGCTTTGTGCTTGCAAGGCAGGTGCTCTACTGCTTGAGCCACACCTCTAGCTCTTTTTTATTTTGTTTTGAGGGGAGTGGGGCTTGAACTCAGGGCTTTGTGCTTGCAGAGCCAGTGGTCTACTATTTGAGCCACACCTCCAGTTCATTTTACTGTGGTTATTTTGGAGATGGAGGCCTCAAGAATTATTTGCCCAGCTGGCTTTGAACCACTGTCCTCCCAACCTTAGCCTTCTAGGATTACATGCGTGAGCCACCAGTGACCAGCTACTGCAGTGTTTTTAAGCAGTGGACAAGGGGTTAGTGCAGGATGCATTGGGTCACTTCTTAGAATGCCAGTTTAGTAACTGAGATTAGAGAAAAGATATTTAAGTAAAGTCTCGTTATATACTATATGTTTTAGACTTAAAGTTTTTTTTTTAATTTTTGTTTTAAAAAACATAAAAGCATAAATTGCACATATTTTGGGGGTGCCCTGTGATGTTTTAGTATAAGTATACACTGTGTAATATTTAAATCAGTGTAAATAAATCTGCATCCTCAAACATTTATCATGTCTTTATGCTGAAAACATTCAAAATCCTTTCTTCTAGCTTTTTAGACTTTTTTTTTTTTTTTTTGCTTAAAGCTGTAGATTTTTTGTTATAATATACCATCTTTTAAAAAATACTTACAAAATTGGATGGTAAAGAATTTAGATGAATATAGACAGCCTTCCAAAGAACTGTGTTCTAGAGATTGGTAATTGAGAACTTAGAGCACATTTTCCCTGGACACATTATTGAAAGCTGTGGTCCCACTAGCTTACTGTGTGTAATGGAAGCTGAATTGCCATAACAAAGTCCCCTCACAGAATGGGTCAAAGAAGACAAATCTGTTTCTATTTTAACACTTCAGAAGAAATGGGGAGTGTGCAGGGCAGATTAGTTCTGCCCCAGGGCTCATTTGGTCCCTGGCTTCCTCCCATCTTGCTATTTCTGCTGTTGCCCAGAGTGTTGCTCTCATCTGCCTGGTCAAAGCTTGCTCCCAGGCACACTTGTTCCTGATCCAACTAGGGTGTATGTGGCCAGGTATGCAGCTGAAACTTGGGGGCATTCTACTAACAAGAAAAAGGGGAGTGCAGGTGTTAGGGATATATAGAATCCTCCCCCATTTCTCACAAAAGCCTCGTGTCAAGGAATGGGCTATTTTTCAACCTCTGAGAAAGATTTCCTTTAAGCTTTGAAAAGAGATAAGAAAGACTTAGGAAGTGGAAAATTGTGTTAGTTTTATATGAACACTGTCTCAACATGTTAAGCTCTGCATGGTATCTATTTTTACTAAGGTGTGAAGAAGTGTCACCCCAGTGTTTTTTTACACTCAGCTTGCTTTAAAAATTTAACAACATGGTCCAAATTGAAGAGTGTATAGCAGGTTCCAGCATTTCATCACTCTGGCTCCTCTTGCCTTGTCTGAGATTGATACTTGAGTTGGATACTTCGGGGATTTCTGGTGCTTTGATTGTTGCCTAATGGGGATCACAGAGCCTTTGAAGCCCATCCAATTCTGTCTTATCACTTATGTGCTACCTATAAGTGATCACGAGCCAAATTTTCCTCAGTGGTAAAATGGAAATAAGACGGTAATACCGAATTTATTAGGGTGGTTACAAGAACTAAATAACCAAGTGTATACAGAAAACTTTAATAACCCGCTACCTAGGATGGGATAAGTGCTCTGTAAATACTGGTTTTACTTTTACTTTCAGGATTAGCATACTCAGTTTTTAAATTTATTACAATGAGGTCTATTTCCTTATGAAAAGTAGATGGAGACGTTGTTGGGCCTTTGCCACCAGCACCAAAGGCTGTGCCAGCTCCACCTCCTGTTGCCCAGAGCAGCAAAGTAGAAGTTATAATCCAGGAAAGGAAGGATACCAAGCCTGGAGTGCCGCATGTGCGGGAGTGGGACAGAGGAAAAGGTAAGGAAGCAGGTTCCCAGGTATGAAACCTTTCCCCATGGGCCTTACAGAAGATGTGTTGTTGTTTTCTATCAAAGTGTCATTCTGCTGAAGTTTTTTGTTGATTTTGTTTTTGTGGTGCCGGGGATGGAACCCAGGGCCTCATACATGGTAGGCAAGCACTTTACCACTGAGCCACACGCCAACTCCATGGTGAAGCTTAGTGCCTTTGAGGCTTAAGGAAACCTCCAGACCTTGAACTTGTTTCTTCTCCATACTAGATACTTGCTGCTTATAAATAGGAGAACTGCAAAATGTGATTACAGAAGACAAAAATAGAAAAGCATCATGTCAAAAGGATGATTTTTTTTTTTTTTTTAAGAAGCTCTGGAGGAAGTTTTAAATTCATTCTGTCTTACAGCCTTGGCATGCCACTTTTTAGGAACCACTTTTTAAGTATGATGAATTGATGATGAGAGTTACTTTGTTTTTAGCAGTCTCTTTTATGTTGATTTGAAAATAGTTTGCATGGCTGTGTATGAACTTGATTTTACTTGAGAGGCATGCACACTGTAAATTCACGTGGATCATGGTGCCAAAAGCAATCTGTTTTGAGAGGACTGTGATTTATGTTTCTTTGAAAGAGATCCTTTCAGTAGTACATTAACTTGTACTGTTTGAACTAATGAGATCCAAAGAGTATGAGAAATGCAAGGGCCATTGTTGGAAGTAGACACACAATATCAACTCAGTAAAGGACAAAATTTACATTTTGGTGTGGAGTACCTAGCACATTTTGTCAAGCAAATGTTTTGACTTTTTGAGTTTTCTTTACTTCTCAAATGTACTTTTACTGCCTTTTTGGCAATGTCTCTAGAGCCTGCCAGTGGCCTCTGCAAAGTCTTCCTATAATCTTTCCCTGTCTGGAGTGGTCACTTCCTTTTCTTAGCATGGTTTCTGATATATTTCCCAACTATTACTTATATACCTTGTAATAAAGCTTTGTCCTTGCTATCCTTGTTCTCTAGAGTTTGTGGTGACTTTTAAGAAATATATATACAACAGTCAACTGAAAGATAGTAACAATAAATTTAACTGATTCATTAATCAGCTCTGATAGTACTCTTGCTTTTTTTTCCTAGAATTTTCCTTTGGATACTGGTCAAAGAGGCAGTCAGATCTCCGGGCCGAACGAGATCCTGAGTTTGCCCCACCATCAGATTACTTTGTGGGTCAAAAGAGAACTGGTTCTGTCAGTAGCCACACATGGAACAGACCTGGACCAGCACCAAGTGACTCAGGACAGCACTTTGGCCAGAGCCAGGAGCCCAGCTCTGTCCATACGACATCCTCTCCTGCCCCTGAAGGCCCACCACAAGCCCCCACAGTGACTTTCAAAACTCTGGATGATATGATATCATACTATAAACAAGTGACATGACCCTGAACAGCATTCTGACTTGGGTTTGTACTGTCAGTGATGCCCTCCTCTCTCAGGGGGGAGGGGGGAGTTATTTTAGGGACTAAGATGTGCCTCCATCCTCCTGTCCTTCCTCTAGAAGGCACAGGCTTCAGGTTGGATTTGTCAGCAGGGAGTAAAGTGAATGGTGGGATAGGCATTCTTTGGTGACTTGGCTGTTTATTTCTTACTAATTGGTATAGAGGATACCTACCTACTCTACTCCTTATAGGCTTATAGGTGCACTTGTAACCCATTTGGATTTATAGCTGTGTGAGTTGTAAAAGAGTAGAAATATTTATTCTACTGAAGAAAAGGAACTTGTAATCCTGTCTGTTTCATAGCTACTCCCATGACTTAGATTTAAGGTTTCTGTTCCAGTCCTTTTGCAAATACTAGCCTGTAGGTGTCTTTACTTCTAGGACTCAGCTTCCAGGTCTGTTGATGGAGTGCAGATCAGGATGGTTTCATGGAGGCAGATTGATCCAGTTGTCCAGCAGATCCTGACACTGGTGCAATATTACACGAGCACATTTGCAGCGATAAGGCTAGGGATGAGCACCTTTGTAATCCAGAGGCTAGAAGTTGAAGTTATCTGCTTACTTTTATTGTTGTGCTATTCTCCTGTCCACATCCTTGTGCATAATGGCCATCTGATAAATGTGTGTGGATGACTTGGGCATTCCCAGAGGCTGCTGGGCCTCATCAGAGACCAATGCTCCTTAGTTAATAACGTGCTTTTTAGCTTGTCCTACTCTCTCACCCCAGTTCTCCCTGATGGTCCCCTGCTCTAGGCCTCATATAGAATGGAGCAGATTGGTCCCTATGTCCTTAACTGACACAGAGTGTCAGTTGGGCAGGGCTCCAAAGAATGACCAGAGGATCCATTGAACAGCTGTAGACAAGCATTTGGGAGCTTGTCACTAGACCTATGGGATTTCCACAACCAACCTCCAGGCAGGTGGGTCCTATAAGAACTCAACTCAAGTCCTCAAAGTGCCCTAAAGGAGTGGGAAGAAGAGGAGTGAGGGAAGGAGCCTGACCTCTGATGGGCCTCTGTGATAGCCTGGTCTCTGCTTCCACAGCACTGTAGATGAATTCCCTATTCTTCACACTCTGGAGCGTTAAGAGGAGTCAATAACTAATCGAGGTCATGTGGCATCCAAGTGGCAGAGCTGGGACTTAAAACACAACTTAGGTCTAGCTTCTACACTCATGCTTCTTCTACCACCCTCTGCTCCTAGTCTTACTGCCCCAGTATCAAGCAGATTTAGACAAAAATGCACTTCTTAGAAACTTACTTACCAGCAGAGTTGCCAGTCCTATTGTCATTCTGTCAGCCTAACCTGGCATATACCTTTTTAAATAAATATACATTGAAACTCACTAAAACAGCTGCCTTCTTTGCAGAAATTGACAAGCTGATCCTAAAATTCATATGGAAATGCTAGAGATCCAGAATAGCCAGAATTTGGAAGACTCACTTCCTGGTTTCATGACACAGTTACAGTAATACAAATTGTTTACTGGCATAAGAGTAGATGCACAGATAAGCAGTCTAGAAATAAATCTATGCGTCTGGTCAGTCAACAAGGGTGCCAACACCATCCAGTGGGGAAAGAATAGTCTTCAACAAATGGAGCTGGGACAACTGGATATCCCATGCAGAAGAATGAGTGGACTTCTACCCTCATACCGTACACAAACATCAATTCAAAATGGATCAGAGACCAACCAACAGCATACAGGACAAAGGAGAAAGAAACAAAAAGAAAAATTGGAATATACTAAAAGAAATAGAATTAGAATTGTAAGGAAAAAAATGAGGACAAGAACAATGAATAGACGATATGAGAAAGATGGAAAGAAAATGTATTTGTAAAACAGCACCAGGAAGAGTTAAGCGTAGATGGTGGAATAGAAAGGAGGGACAGGAAGACCAGCCAGGCAGCAGAAAGACCCTGTGAGTGGGAACCAGTTTATCACAGGAGTGTCTAGCACTGTGACCTCTTGTCATTGTCCAAAGCACTTAGGGTGAACAGAAGCAGGCTAGCACTTTGACTCATGGTCACTGTTGACTAATAACTGTAAGTCATATTTTTCTCTGGTATTTCAATGACTTAAATAAGCCCATTTCTAGTTCCCTCTTTACAGCATAAATTTATTTTGGTTTTTGTAAGCTCAGCTATATCCTATTTCAGATACAGAGCTATTAGTATGAACACACCCTCATGAAGTCTTCCTTTCTTATGGGCCTGTTTATACCAAGGTATCCAGCAGGTGGCATTAGAATTCTCTAGATACATGCTCTAAAACAGCACTAATAGAAATACTAGATAAGCCATGAATATCATTTCAGTTTTCTATAAACCATATTGAAAAAAGTGAAATTAACTTTAGGATATCCCAGAATATTCAAAATATTTCCGTATGTAGTCAATATATGGAAATTATCAGTGAGATATTTTACATTTCTTAGTGTGAACATTTAAGTCTTCAGAGTCCCCTGTGTATCACAGCATATCTCAATTTGGACACTAACTTTTTTGTGTGTTTGTTTTTGTTTTGGAGTCAGGGTCTTATTATATAGCCCAGGTTGGCCTTGAACTTTCAGTCCTCCAGGCTCAGCCTCCCATTGCTGGGATTATAGGTGCATACCACCTGAAATCCCTGTCTTGGACACTAACTTTTCATCAGGAATATTTGATCTGAATTTGGATGTCATAAAGTAGTTGAAAAAGGTAGATTCCTATCCAGGTTGTTCCAAATATACTTAACATACTTAAAAGTTTTCAAGTGACTGAATTATCAAATTTTAAGTTTAAATCAGTGATACTGTGATTTAGTTCTTTCATCATGCTAATCTTGGCTAATCTTGGTGGGCCCACACACCTGGAGCTACTGCACTGGGTAGGGCAGTTCCAAAGCACTGTTCGTAGGTCTTGTGGTTCTGTATATTCTCTTCCCATTAGTAATGAAAGGTTTGGCAATTAAGTTTCTCCCATGTATACATTAAGCATCCAAAATACCCTATGGCTGCATTTAACTTGAGAGCAAGTAGTGACAAAACCTAGAGAAGAAGATGACCATACCTCTTATTCATGCCTCTGGTGAGCCAAGTGAACCATTTTAAAAGAAATTGCTTTGAATTACTTGTTTTCACTGTAATCTCTCCTCCAGGCCTTTGTGTGTATTGGTACAGTTCATTTGAATTGGCTCAATAAATCATTTTGTTTGCTTGCAAGATTCCCAAAGGAGAGGAGAACATTCAAATCCATATACATGAGATTCCTGCTATGTTTAGCCTTACATTTGCCAAAGACTTGTGGGATCATTTATTCCTCCTGAAAGCCACAGTACATACAGCCCATGGGATGGTTTTCAGCTAACCTTGTGACATGCAGATGAGGCAGTAGAATTTAGAATTTGGAATGGGGTTGGGTACTGGTCTTTACAGTTAACATAGATAGCCACACCATATGTGAGTTGTTTCCTTTTAAGCCAGTAAATCAAGCTATGTCACTTATGTCAAGCAGTTCGTGTAAAATACTACATGACTAAGGTGAGTAGTGATGACTCAGAAGAATTTGTTGACCCACTTAAAACGGTGGTTGAAACTCCCAATCCCAACCCTGCTAGCTGGTGTGGGAAGGTATGTTACTGGTGTAGGCTGTGGGCATCTACCTTCATGTTTGCAAATTGTGTGTGTGTGTGTGTGTGTGTTCATGCATACATGCGCATAGGTGCACTGGGTAAGAGAGGCCAGGGGCAATGGGATGGGATTGGTGTTATTATCTAGAAAACTGGAAAATCAAATTTACACATGAAGCAGTATTTTCATGAAAACTTGTCACCCTGGCCTAGGATTGATGTTGTGCTATGATGTTTCTTAATAGACCCAATATTGCATTTATATATTCATGCATAGTAAATACATGTTTGTCTTTGGTAGTGCTTGTCTGGTGGTAGGAGTAGTCAGAAATACTCCTTTTCAACTGTCAAGTTAAATAAGGTTCCCACCATATTTCCAAATGCCGCCCTCTGCCTAACTGTGAGAGTTCATGTGTTTGGTGACAGTGTGGCCTAGTTTGAAGTGTTTTCCTTGGGGTATGCTATGTGCTTTTCCACTTGGTCATTGCCAGTATTAAACTTCCCTGAACTGGAATATGGTGTGTCCACTTCCCTCTCTCCTGCCTATACCATCCTCTCTACAAACGGTCACTGGCTCTTGTTTGTGAAAACAAGAAAATATAAGAGTGGGCCCTGCTTCCAGCCAGATCACCAGGCCCACAGTGCATCTGTTAACTGTGCTGCTGTCTTCTCAGGGATACAATTTCTTACCATCTTCTCCCAAAATAATTCTCTTTAAATCTCTATATATTTTATCTGTTTTTCCTAATTTTTTATCTGCATGGTTTTTAGTGAATGTGATCACTGTGCAAGGTGTACATACCATTTGGTTTTCTTATTTTCACTTAATATTTCTAAAATAGCTGCTCACTTATTTTTAACTGCTGCCTAATCATCAAAGTAACACATCATTATTCAGATCTTGATTGTTGGCTATCGAATTCTTTCTCTGTTAGGAAGGAATTGGCCATAGCATCTTTTAGGTTGACTTAACAAGCATTAGTCTTTACACTAGTACCTTCCTTCCTCCTTTTTGTAACCATCTCCTTGAGCAGCATTTTCAGAGGTGAGATCACTGGGTCAAAAGAATGGTTGTTTTTGTTTCTTGATGTGTCTTATCAGGAGAGCTGTCTCAATAAGGGTCCTTGGCACCATAGTAAATCTCCCTGGTGGAGGAGCAAGGGGTTTAGAAGTGAATTCCACTCCAGGAGGGTGGTCACCATGAGGTTCATGTTGGGCCTTGTCATGGCACAAGGTAAAGCTTGATTGCCAGGCATTGGCCCTGATAGTGCTTGCTGAGATCTACTTCTGTCTCTGGCCGAGTCTTCCTATTTTCCTCTCTGCTGAGAGAATCCAGGCATCTGTCAGATACTGCCTTATGTACTGAAGAGTCCAGAGGATATCATCAGTAAGTCTTCCCAGTCCTGTCTCCATTTCTTTCCCACATCTTTCCCACATTTCTTTCCCTGCCTGACCTTATGTGGCCCCCCTGGGCTTGCTCACAGAGTCAGGCACTTCTCTCTGGGTGCCATGCTCAAAGCGGTTCTGAGTAAAGCCAGAGGGAACCAGAAACTAGAGAAGACAGCAAACAAAATCAGGGCCAGATAACCTAAGGAAGCCTGGTGTCTTTGTTTTTAAGTGTTAGAATTGTGTATGATAAAAAAAAAATATGCTCTTGGATCAGTGCCAGTAAAGGGAAAGAAGAATGCCCTCTCTGCTTTTAAACCTCAACCCTAATTTCCCCCTTATATATGCATACTTTTAAGTGATTTGCACCTGGAGCATCACAAATAAGGAATAGTGCACTATAGTGTGCTGTGATGGTTATGCCAGCTGCAATGTCACAGACAATGGGAATTTTCCAGCTCCATTATAATCTCATGTGACCACTGTCATATATGTGTCATATGACTGTAAGTGTTGAGCATTCAATTTACAGCAAATCCAAGTTCTTTGGGATGACTTGCAAATCCTTGAATGAGCTGATGCTAGGCCATTTTCCCAGCTTCACCTCCTGCCCTTTCACAGTCTCCCCATGGTCCACCATGCTTTAGATGTATCTGTTCCTTTGTCATTCTGTCCCTTTTGACCAGGATGCCCCTCTGCTGCCTATCTGCCTGGCAGCTTCTTACAATCTTACACCCTCCATTGCTGCTTCCTTTGGGTTTCCATGGCCTTTGTACATTTTTCTGTAGTTTGACCCCTACTGTGTATTATAAGTTAGTTTTGTTCTGCTCTGTCTCTCTGACATTGAGCTACTGGAGGGTAAGACCCATGCCTCAGCAATGGAAAGCTGAGTGGCAGATTAAAATTAGATAAGCAGAAAGAAGGGAGTAACGATCTAACATGACTGCTTGTCAGCTCTGACTCATGTTTGATGGCAAGGATAGAGATCCATATAAAGTCACCTTGCAGACACTAAGAAATTTGGAGGTAGGGGTTTAAGGGATGATGTAGGGATACTGCAGTGTTATCAGGAGCCCAGGCTGTATCACTCTGTGGGGCCACCTCTAATGTATGGCTTCCGTCTTCAAGGTAACCTCATAGCCCAAGATAGCTGCTAGATCTGTAGCTATCTCATCCATTCCAGGCAAGAAGGATGAGAAGGGCAGTGGGTAAAGAAAAAAATGTTCTTTCCACAAAGGCAGCCTCCTTTAAAAAGAGGTCTCAGGGTTCTCTGCCCAGCAGCTTTTATCTTCATTTCACAGGCCAGACTGCAGTCACATGGTCACATCTAGCTGAGTTTGAAGAGATGTGGTAATAAACAGATTATCTCTGCATTTAATTTAAAATAATATTTTAAAAAATGGCGTTGAGATCGGAATAGAAATTTATCCAGGGAAGATAAAAAAATGGCCAAATAAGCACATGAAAGGATGCTCAGCATCTTTAGTCAGTAGGGATGCAAACCAAACCACAATAAGACACCACTTCATGCCCACTAATGTGACGCCAGAATCAAAAAGAGAGTAACTAGTGATGACAAGGACTTGGAAAGACTGGAACTCACACATCATTGTTTGTGGGACCATGAAGTGGTACAGCCACATTGGAAAGCTGCTTAGCACTCTTCAAATAGTTAGACATTGAGTGACTATATATGACCCAGCAATTCCACTTTTAGATGTACATGCCTGGGAGAACAAAAACCCTCTGCCACTGAAATTAAGAGGCAGCTTGCTGACACTGCACACAAACACTTGTATAGAATGTTGCAGCAGCATTATTCATAAAGGCAAAAAAACCACCCATATATCAACAATGAGTGCATATCAACAAATTTGTAGCATATCCATTCAATGGAGTATCAGCTAGTCATAAAAATGAACAAAGTGCTTATACATACTGCAGCATGAAGGAAGCTTGAAAAACATGATGGCAAGTGAAAAAACCACTCACAAAGAAAACACATTGTATGACTCCATTTTTGTGAAGTGTCTAGAACAGGCAACTCTATAGTGACAGAAGCTAGATTAATGGTTGTCTGGGGTCGGAGAAAATGGGGAGTGATTGCTAGTAGGTTTCTTTTGGGGTGATGACATGTTCTAAAATTAGATAGTGATATTGGTTGCATCGCTCATCCACTAAATACCATTGCACATATTAAAATGGGTGAACTGAATGGTATGTGAATTATATCTCAGTAGAGCTGTTTTAAAATCAGTTTTTATCTGTAAGTCCTATCTTCAAAATTAACCTCAAAAGAAAGGAACTAGTTAGGGGGATGAGGAAAAAGAAAAGTTCCCCAACCAGATAACATTACAAGGATTTTTAGAATTGTGTTAGCTGTCTCTTCATTTGAGTCCTGACTTTAAAAAAAGAAGAAGAATCTGTCCTGAATGGTCAGGGTCAGATCCCTCTGGCTGGCTGCCCAGATGACTGAGATTCTGAGTAGTTTCTTTGTTCTGTAGACTTATCATTTAAAAAATGAGTCTATTTTTCTGAGTCTGCAAGGCTGAAGAGTGGAGATGCCTGGGGTCAGCAAATTGACATGGGAAACCTTATCTCCAAGGCAGCAGAATGTTAGCAGAGTTTGCTCTATTGGGACTTTTGTTCTTTGGAGATTTTGTTCCTGTCAGGTGGGTTGCAACAGCCTGAAGGCCATGAAGAAGACTGTAGCGTTTGGAAAGGCCTTGGTGCTTGAAGTCTGTGGATAGGTGACTCCCAACTGAGAGCTGGTTCATCAGCCGGACAGGAAAGATAATGGCTTCTCACCACAGGTGGGGAGGGGTACACAACTCCTGGCCATGAACCTGCTCTGTGAACTCTGCCAGGTAAAGCTGTCCTAGGATGGTGAACTTTAGGTGGCCCTGGAGAACAGGATTTGAAAAGGGAAAGAATGAGGATTGTCTGGGTGCGGGAAGCAGTTGGCAGGATGGAAGGTGAAAGAAGTGACAGCTTTAGTGACTGCCCAGGATGGGCAGAAGGTGCAGGTCAGCACCCTTTCTCTGCTCTCATGGTCAATATTATGGCAAGTCTGCTGGTGGGGCCATTGGGGTTAGACAGCAGATGTGACCTGAGCCTGCAAGGAGATTCTGAAAAAGGCCAGAGGAGCGGACACACACCCTGTTCTCTGAGCTTCCCTCAGATGAATCTTTCCTGCCTGTTCTGGATCTGAGTCTGTCTTGTGGAGGCTCATATTCTCAGGGAACTCCTTGAGAATTAAAAGAAATAAGTCATTGTTCTTGTGTAACATAAGATCAAGAGGTTTTACATTTTCATAAATGTATTTTATAACTGTCTCTGTTAAACCCAAGGCCCCAAATGCCCACTTGAGCACTCAGAACTCTCAAGTAGCTCTGTTAAAGTGGAAAAATATTTATCTTGGTCTTGATTTTAAGGTATGTATTTTTCACACTATAACATCTCTGAAATTGTGATACGTCTTATAGTTAATGGCATCTTTCATTTTTTTTCTCTAGTAAGATGATACATCTTTCAATAATGATCTTATATTTGATTACATGGCCAATTATATTAATCATTGAACTATAGGTTCTCCTCATTCTGTTATGTGCCCTTTTATGTGCGTATTAGGTAATTCCATGCCCATCCCACCATTGTAACCAGAAGCTTCCACATCACCTGTTTCTATAGAGAATGCCAACTGAGAGTCTTCTTGTTTGTTTTTTTGCAGGCTTTTATCAATAGACCACAAGCAGATTTTTCACCCTCAAGATCTGTAACTATAAAGGTAGGGTGGAGCCATCCTCCCTTCTCTGGCTCTTCTCTTTCACCAGCTCCCCAGGTCCCTCCTTTAGACACACTCAGTTTGTCTGACTGCCTCTAGAGCTTTTCTGTGCCCATCCTCCCCAGCAGACCCTCCCCAAAATGGCTCTGGGAAGGTGGGGATGGGGGGGCATCCCTTTACCCTACTGTGGAGAGTGACCAGGGACTTCCTTATCCTTTCCAGATAGGAACTGCTGGCTCAATGACCTGTGAGGGCCATTTTACCACATCCACTCCATCTGTTTCCAAGGCTTCTCCATAGGTAAGAGCTTCTGCTCTTAGTCACTTGTCATAGTGCTCTGAGTCTTTACAGTGGATAGTCCCTCTCCTCTGAGATGGACAGTATCACCTAGCAATATGTGTGCCCTGGCAACATGAGCACAATCAAGAGTAATCGGCAACTGTACCTGCAGTACTCAGCCATGGCCCCCAAGCTGCTGGCCCGCATCTGTAAACTCCTCATCACCTGTCGCAATGCGGGCATCCCCATCCCAAAGGGCATCAGGAACATCTTTGAGTTCACCTGGGAGGAGCTCATCACTGATCCCTCAGTGCCCACCCCATCTGCCATCCCGGGTCTGGAGGTCACCTTTGGAGCACCTCCTGTGGTGCTTATGGATGCAATCTCAGCTCAGGCCCCGGTCCAGAAGAAGCCGGCGCCAGCATCCCCACTGCAGCCATCACAGGTGCTGCCCACAGCCGCAGGGTTGGCCAAGAACTCCACCCCTCCCACCTCTGCCCGCCAGGTGGGCAACAGCCAGGACACCCTGCACAAGTTTCAGCGGCAGTCCATCCACCTGCTGACAGAGCTCCTTGCCCTGAAGATGAAGGCCATGGTGGAGTCTGCCTCTGGTAAGGCCAGCTCATAGATTCCCCTCCATTTCCAGCCCACGTATATCACCATGTTGACCCCGACAGTTACAGGGTGAACATCCCTAACCCCAAAATCTGAACTGTCCCAAATCTTAAACTTTCTGACTATTAGCATGATGCCACCGTGAAAAATACCACATGTGATGGGTGGCAGGGGCACCAAAAATATTGTATAAAATAATCTTCAATCTGTGTATTAGGGTATACATGAAACATCAGAGAAGTTTGTTTAGATTTGAGTCTAAACTCATAATGAGATGTCTTGGACATCTCATTATGTATGTGCAAATTCTCCAAAATAAAAAAAGAAATCCCAAATCCAAAGCACTTCTGGTTCTAAGCACTTGGTGTAAGAGGTACTCAACAATATGAGAGCTAGGGTGCCTCCAAAGTGAGGGCATCATCCCAGGGCTGAGCAAGGACCCAGAGGATCATCAGCAATCAAGCCTTCTGGGGGCTGTGATGTTTCAGATAGCAGCAGCCCAGTAACCAGCCTATGGATAGGAAGAGATAGGAGAGGTGGCAGAGAGCAAAGTGCTGCCTGGTGGGTCTTGAGAGCTTGAGACTCTTTTCTTAGGAGTTCCTCACCTTTACATTAGGAATAGGCTTCAATCTACCCTTATTTCCTGGGCCATTTGCAAAGGTCCTTTCCTAGAAGGATCATCCCCATGCTGAGAGGAAAATGTGTTGCCTTTGATCATTCCTTCAGTAGGTGCCAACCCCCTAGATGTCACCAAGCGCTTCGTGGAAGCCAGCCAACTCCTGCATCTCAATGCCAAGGAAATGGCCTTCGACTGCCTGATCGGCACTGTTGGAAGGAATAGCTACTCTGTGGGAACGACAGGGAAAGGTAGGTGCCTGAGCTTAGTTTATAGGTAAAATGTATAAACAGTATCAATGAGAGAGAAGGCACTGGAAAGGTAACCCACAGTCTGAAAGGTTTTCCCAAGGCTGAAGGTAGATGTGGAGCAGCAGGACCCCTGTCACACTGCCAGTGAGTGAATAGTTGTGCTGTCCCCGTGGAAAGCAGTCTGGATGTCTGTTGGTATACACCTCTCAAACCAGCACCTCCCCATGTCAATCATTCCCTAGAGCCATGCTTCTCAAATGGTCTGCTACAAAGGACCAAGTTCTAAATTTCCAATATGGACCAGAGGCATGGCTCTGGTCCTAGCTTAGCCTAGCAAGCATGAGGCCCTGAGTTCAATCTCCACTACCACAAAAAATATGTATATGCATATATTTAATAGATACATATATGATAAATAATATGTGAAATAGATATGATGTATAATTATATATATAACTTCCATTCTGTTGTGGTCCAAAATGTGGACCATTTTATACATATAATAAAATGTCATAGCAACATCCCCTTGCCACAAATCTCTCTCAGTGCTTGCCCTCCGTGTTTGTACTCAGCTGGTCGTGGCCTGTGGGGATCAGTGCCCGTCCACAGGCCACACCTAAGAATCCTTCTGCCCTAGAGAAGCTCAAACACATGTGCAGGAAGTCCTAAAAAAACTCTTTGAAATGGGGAAAAGATTAGAAACAAGCTGTATGTCCATCAATGGAGAAAAATTAAATTATCTTTGATTTAGACAGTGGGACATAATGAGCAGAGAAAATGAGTGATGCTTGAAGCACAGGCATCAGTTTAGATAAGTTTCAAGCAAGAGATGGTATGGAAGGACACACTTGGTACATACGTACAAAGTTCAAAAGTCAGGTGAAGTAATAACACATTATAAGTACGTTAGACAAAATTAAGTATAAAAGCCTGAAGAGACAAATTTGAGGAAGTGATCTGTGGAGCTCTTTGGGAATTAGGATGTAGGATACAACGGTTCAGTCATATCTGCAATGTTTTGTTTCTTTTTGTTTTTCACATACATACATCTTCACGTCTATGTAGTGAACCAATTTAAGATCTACCCTCTTAGCAAATTTCAAGTATACAATATAGTAATATTAACAATATCACCATGCTATACATCAGATCTCAGGACTTACTCATCTTAAACTGAAAATTTATACCAGTATCTCTCCTTTTCCTTCACTCCCCAGCCCCTAGCAACCACCATTGTTCTCTCTGCTTCTATGAGTTTGACTGTTTTAGATTCTGCATATGAGTGAGATCGTGCAGTATTTACCTTCTGTGCCTGGTTTATTTCCCTTCACATGTATAGTTCACTCATGTTGTCTTAAATGGCGGAATTTCCTTTCTTTTTCAGGCTAGGAAGTATCCCATTGTGTATATCCCACATTTTCTTTATATACTTGTCCTCTGATGAATAGTCAGTTTGGTTCCATTGTAGCTGTTGTGAATTACACTGGAGTGGGCATAGGAATGCAGACATCTCTTTGACATGCTGATTTCATTTCCTTTGGATATATACCCAGAAGGGGGATTGCTAAATCATATGGTAGCTCTCTTTCTAATTGTTTTTTTGAGACAGAATCTTGGTCTGTAGCCCAGGCTGGTCTTGCACTCAGTCTTCCTTCCTCAGCCTCTCAAGTGCTATGATTACAGGTGTGTGCACAATGCCGGCTGTTTTAATATTTTGAGGACCCTCCATACTATTTTTCATAATGGCTGTATTTACATTCCTACCAACAGTGTGTAAAGATTCCTTTTTCTCCACTCCTCACTAGTACTTGTTACACTTGGTATGTTTGGTAAGAGTCATGAGATGATTTCTCATTGTGGTTTGATTTGTTCTTTTCTGATCATTAACAGTATTGACATTTTTATATACCTGTTAGCCATTCATATGTCTTCCTTTGACAAATATCTATTCAGGTCCTTGACTGCCTTTTTTTGGAGGGGGGACAGTATGGGTTTTGAACTCAGGGCTTTGTACTATCTAGGCAGGTGCTCTACCGCTTGAGACATGCCTGTAGCCAAGCCCTTTTTCCTCTGGTTATTTTGGAGATAGGGTCTCACTTTTTGCCCAAGCCGGCCTGGACCACAGTCCTCCTATTTTACACTTGTCCTAGTGCTGGGACAGCAAGCACCTATCACCAGGCCCAACTATTTTCTGTTGAGATGGGATCTCACGAACTTTTATACCCAACCTGGTCTCAACTGTGATCCCGAGTAGCTAGGATTATAGGTGTGAGCCACTTGTACCTGGCTCACACTTTTAAATCAGTTTTTTCCCTGTAATGTTTTATATCTTAGACTTGGTAAACACACATGTTGATTTTGAATGCTTAAAATCACTCACAGGCTGGGTGCCAGAGGGTCATACCTGTAATCCTAGCTACTTGGGAGGCAGAGATTGGGAATATTGTGATTTAAGGCCAGTCAGGGCAGAAAGTTCACAAGACACTGTCTGAGCAGAAAAAGCTAGGTATGGTGGCACAAGAATGTCACCCAGCAGTGGTTCAGGCTGGCCCAGACAAAAAAATTGAGACCTGATTTCAAAAATAACCAAAGCAGAAAGGGTACCTATCAAGTGTAAGGCCTTGAGTTCAACCCCCAGTACTGAGAAAAAAAAAGAATTCACAGTTAGGAGGCTTTCTAGGAAGGCTTTAAAAATTATACTTCGTAAACTGTTGGTGGTTCACACTGGTAATCCCAGCTACTTAGGAGATGGAGGTAGGAGGATTGGTTTGAAGCCAGCCTGGGCAAAAAGTTGGTGAGATTCCCATCTCAACCAATGAAAAATGTATGTTATCCCAGCTAGGCAGGAAGTATAAACAGGACAATCATAGTACAGATTGGCCCAGGCACAAACGCTAGGCCCTATCTCTAAAATAACCAAAGCAAAAAAGGGCTGGAGGACTAGCTCAAGTGGCAAAGCACCTTCCTAACAAGTGTGAGGGCCTTGAGTTCAAACCCAAGTACCACACACAAAAAAGTATTATCATGTACTTACACTATTGATTAATTTTTGGTAAGAACAAGGTAAAAGAAGTTTTTTTGGTTTCCTTTTCCAATCAAACATCCTAGCTGCTTACCGTGAAATAAAGGTTTCCACTTACGGGAATTTACTTTGTGCCTGTTTTGTACTGCATCAGCCAGACTCCAGTGTCACAAGTCCTTGAATTTTGGATGGTGATCAGCATTCACAGAGTTCTGCACCTGTATTCAGTTTCAGGGCTTAGAGACCACTTCCCATGGGGTCACAGCTGCTTGATGATCTGTTGCATAAGTGCAAGGGTCTGTGGGACAGGAAACAAAATGATATCCCTAGCTCAAGCCTTGATGCTGTCCTACTTGAATACAGTCAGCCCTCTTGTATCCAGGGATTTCACACCCATACCAACGTGGATTGCCCCAATCACAGATTGAAAATATTTTTAATTGCCCTTGTACTAAATATATACAAACATTTTTCCATGTTGTTATTCTCTAAATAACAGGATACAACTGTTTGCATGGCATTTATATTGTATTAAGTATTCTAAGTAACCTAGAGATGATTTGAAGTATACAGGTGTGTGTGTAGGTTTTATGGCATTTTACGTAAGGGCCTTGAACATTCAAGGATTTTGGTATCCAAGGGGGACCGGAATGAATGTCCTACAAATTCTGAGGGACAGGGAAAATGATTCTCACCATTAGTGTTCCATCTAATAAAGTGCTCAAGCATGTTTTTCAGGATGACAGGCTTTTGCCTCCAAGGATGGACCTCCTGCATCACTCATAACTTATGATTCATGGAGTGAGAAGAGAGATTAGCTGACTGGGGACCTTTGGGGAAATTTCTGTGACCTGCTGCATCAGTGAAGGGCTGAGAAAGCCCCTGTCATGACAATCACAAAGAAAGCTCTCTTACTGGTGGGCACTTTGGCCCAGAGGCCCTCTTTAAACAAACCTTGAGTTTGTAAAAAAAAAAAAAAAAAAATCAAAATGGCAAAAAATAATAAAGAAGTGATCCATCCATTTCTTTTGGGAAAGCATTCATTTGTCCCAGAAGGACTTTAATTAGATAGTTCTCCCAGGGCATTGCATGACTTGTGTTTTTCTGGACTGCCTTCTTGCATTGGTTGCCAAACCTATAAGTGGGTCTGGAGTATCCTCTTAACTCTGTAACCAGAATCTACCCTTTGCTAAGGAATAATTTCCATAGTAATAAGACTGCTTCCTGTCTTTGCTCCTGTCCTGATACCTGCACATCTTGGCTTGTCACCAATAAAGACAGGACTGTTCCTTTACTTTTAGCTGATGGCAATATCACTAATTAAAATATCCAAAAAACCAAAAAGGAAAAAAAAAAAAAGAAAGCAAGTAATCTTACCACCTTTAATAAAAGAGCTCTTTTTCACTTTTGTAGCTTCCATTGTGGTTCTTGTCTTCATGCATGTATGTATTTCTACAATATTATAATATTTCTGTTTCTTAGTTTCTTTCATGTGACAGACTATAAATGTTTTCCAGTGTGACTATATAGTTTTAATAATTGTCATCTGAGTGGGTGTAGACTCCTTCTAACGTTCATATTCCATACTTACTACGTGCTCAGATTTACCTGCTTCTTGTTATCGGTGTAATAGGCAACTGAATGCACATCACTTCTTATTCTTATTGCATTGGTTATTAAGATTAATTTCCCAAGAGAAGGAATACTTGGGCAGAGAGTCACATTCTGTTTATACCTCTTTTTGCTAAATCACACTTTCTTGCCAGTGCTGGGGTTTGAACTCAAGGCCTTGTGCTTTCCAAGCAGGTGTTCTACTACTTGAGTCACACCTCTATATCTAAATCACACTTTCTGCATGGATTTTTTTTTTCTCCTGCACCAGTAGGGTTGGCAGCTTGTATTCCATCTTTACCAGCTTTGGTTCTTGTCAGGTTTTTTTTTTTCATTTGTACTAAAGTGGAGGATACTGAAAGTTGTTTTCACTTCATTGTTTGGATCACTAGCAATGATGATCATTTTCATGTTTTGTCATCCAGGTTGGAGTGTCTGCTTATAGTCTTTGTCTACTTATGAGGTCGAGTTTGCCATTTTCTTCATGCATTTAAATGTGTCATGATGAGTGAATTGCTTAACATTTCCTAACAATGGTTTCATGCCAGACCAGTGACATGACCATATCTGGGAAAAAATAAGCAAATGATTTGGTGAGGTTCATATAAGAATGATCAAGATTTTCCACTAGTGAGAGAGGTGCCAAATTTGAATGGTCACATATCAGATGATTCCACCCAAGATGGTGTGATTTTGCAAGAGACTGATACATTGTTGAAGAAGCATCTAATTTCTGTGTCTTGGATAAGGGGAAATAGCTGACTCTTCATTTCTTCATTGCTGGCCCCAGGTTTATTCTCTCCACCTAGTGCCACACTTTCATTTACATTTGCCCTCACAGTAATGTCACCTGGCTGCTTGCTTGTAGGGAGTTGAGAGGTTGGGTGGGGGGAGAGGAAGAGGCAGTATGGAGGGGAGCCCTCAAGATGTCCCTTAGTTACTTTGAGCTTGCCAGTGCATCAAAAAGTCTTCCAGAATCTGGTTGTTTTGGAATACTAGGACACTTAAAAATATCTAGCACAGTGTGCTGTTCAGACAAATCTATAGTACACTTTTGGTTTAAAAACAGTTAAAATGGAAAGAAGATTCACTCTCTTCTTCTTCAGAGTCCCCCATGAACATGTCCGTTATGGGAGTAAACTCACCTTACCAGCTGATCTATCAGTCTTCCACAGCCTGTCTGAGTTTTTCCCTCTCAACTGGAAAGGAAGTCAAGAAGAAAGGTAAAAAGGGTTCCCAGCAAGATCTTGTACCCACCTGTGGTGGTGGTAGTGGTGGTGGTGGGCTGGTTGGAAAGAAGCTTGGAAGGTAGAAGCCTGGAAGATCTCTGTGCAGCCTGTGTGATTGGTGGGATGGTTAGTTCTGGGTTTCTGATAGGTTCTCAGCTGCCCAGCCTGGAGACCCAACAGCTGTTGACACTGATTCTCGCATGTATGTCAAAATGGCTATAGCACATCTGGCTGCTCTACTGTGAACACATATATGAGCTCCAGTACTCTCCCAGGGTCCCTTCACTGGGAGAGCAGATCACTCAGCCTACATACTCTACTCCCCAGACTGTCCCCAAGTCACTCTGCTCAGAAACAGCTCTGTCTATCCACATAGCAAGTGGGAACTAGAATCTGAGGAGAGAGATTTGGATCCCAATCCTAACAGACCCAGTTCTGTATCCCAAATTGGGCTAGTGTGTGAGGGCAGGAAGCAAAGACAAAGAAGGCACCCCTGATCTATTAAGGAAGACCCTCAAGAAGGAGGGGAAGAACAGGTGGCAGGGAAGAGCGAAGGGTAAGACAGCAACTATGCAAGCTTAGTGGAGAGATGGAGGACTGCAGAGAGCAGGCAAGGCTCTAGGCTTGTGACAGGATGGGTGGACAGGGTGGGTGGGATGGGATGGGCATAGCAAAGGAGCAGGAGGGTGGGAGAAAGTGATAGCTTACACTGTCCATTTGATTCTACAGATGCTGGAGGTAAGGTTGGAAGTTGAGAACCTTGGAGTTTATTCTCTACCTCGCCCCTGGCTGGCTGTGTGACTTGTCTTCCTCAGGCCTCACTCTCCTTGGTAAAAGGGGGATGGTTACTGGGGACACTCAAAGGCTTTCCCAGTCTAATCCGACTTTTATTGTGATTATTATTGCTTCTGTTTTGTTCCCTGGCCTTATTACTTTGCTCTCATGGGTATCTGATATACCCTTAATAATTGACTCGCAGAGTGACCACTGATTTGCAGAGTGACATCTCTACCTTGTAAGTGACCAGCCAATGACTCCCATTCCTGTGGAACATAAATGATCCTTCCCAGTTACTCTGCTGGTCCCTCCTTCACCCTCAGGCAAACATGGTGCTTAAGAATGCATCTTCTAAGACTCATCACTGATCTCCTCATCTCCAGCCACAGGCAAATCAAAAGCCATAGAAGATGTCATTATGTCACCACCCCCTCGAGTGATGAGAATATCTCCTGAGACTGAGGTCACTGACCCTTGCCCTGAGGCTCGGGAGATGCTGCAGGACATGTGTCGCCACACGTGAGCACCTGGGTGGTTTTGGGGGACAGGTGTTCTCTCAGGAAGCCCCACTCTGTCTACAAGCCCCAAAGAGATGGTCATTGCTGTGTGAGAGCCATGCTGGGGCTCATGGCCTTCTAGGCATTTCTCTTGTCAGCCCAGGTGGTGTCCTTCACATGCACTCATGCCCATGGTCCTGCCTGTTCTAGAGATAAGAAATTTGGGGCAGCCTAAGCAGGCAGATGGTTGGGTAAGGAGCTGCCTGAGCTCATACAGCTCTGTTGGTCAGAACCCTGTGTGATGCTTTTTGCCTCTGCAACACACCACGCACCTGCAATGCCCCTTGTGTTGTTCCTTGGGCTTCAGTGTGTTCCCTGTTAATTTTTAGCATAATTTGCCTGGTGTTCTCCTACTAAAAGAAAAAAAAGCACCTCTCAAAACAAACAAAAAACATCCATGGGGGTGATTCATGCTGTTTATGATTTTGTGGATCTCACAAGGCCCAGCAAGAAATTCAACATTTCTTCATGGGCTCTTAGCATAGAGATTTAAACACATATCCACATGTAAGTCACCTACGTCTCCTGAGGGGTCGCTGAGTCAAAGCATGGGTAGAGGACAGTCACACAATTTATCTCTGTATTGTGACACCCCTCCCCTGGAATCTCAGGACAGGGATGGGAGGAGGTAAGCAGTCTCCAACTTCTCAGTGCCCTGCACCCCCTCCTTCTGTGCACAGTCCTACTCAATAGGTCTTTGCTCCCATGCTCCAGGTAACAAGCCAGACAAGGGCTGGTATTAGAGGGGCTCTCTGACCTTCCCACTTCTAAAAGTACCATCTTTGAGGATGAGAGAGATTGGGGTGGATATGCATACCTTGGGGATGGAGGACTGGCACAGGACTCTTGGGTACTTGGGAGGGGTTGGTGAGAGCCAAATGGCTAGAAGATATGTTGGTCTCCTTCCCTGCAGACAAGCTGAAAGGGCCTCGTGGAAAGGAAGGAATATCTCCTACCCCATGATCTTACGCAACTATAGGGTAAAGCCTTTCCATCAAATGTTGGCCTCCAAAGTGGACTCTTATGCCCAGGGTTTCCATCACCCACACACGGGGGGTGCTCAGACTCCTACTTCCACCTCTCACCAGCCTCCCATGTACCATGCTCACTCCAGTGTGAGTTATCAAGACTGGAAGATGCCCAAGAAGCCCCTCAAGTTGCATTACTCCTTTTGTGATGGGACCTCCTTCGTTTAATATCCTTTTGCTTAGTGCTACCCTTTCTCCATCAAAACTCAGTTCCCAAGAACTCTGGGGCTTAAAGCAGCTTAAATGTTAACTTGGTTTCCTTAGTCCACTAGAGAAGCCTGGCAAGAGTCCTCCAGATGGTAAGCATTTGTCCAGGTCAGACTAGGGAGGATTTGAGGAAGAAGATCCAAGTTTCAAGTCTTGAGTTCAGTTCATTTCAGATCAGCAGGAATATACCAAAGCCCAGCTACCATTGAGAAGTTTGTCAGTGCAAGTAGATCCCTGCCTTCTAGGCTCTGCCAGGAAAGAGGAGATTAGGCAGGACACTTCATCTCTAGATAAGAGGAGGGATGAAATGGCCCTAAAAGCTTGGGGGTATTTGTTTCCCTGTCCCTGACTCAATGTGTATACTATGTTTTCCTTGTCTCCTTCAGTCCAAAGGTTCACTCTCAAAGTCTAAGCCCTTATTTCCCAGGTTCTCTGTCCCTATGCTCAGTGCTGTGCAGCTGAAGTCTTCCTAGACTTGGGCAGTCAGGGTTCCCTAACTTTGGAAGAGAGAGCAGTTTCAACTACTTTCATAGGGACCAAGGCACCAATAATGTTTGCCTGGCAACAGCCCCCCTCCTCTTTTTTTTTTTTTTTTTTGGTGAAACTGGGGTTTGAACTCAGGACTTCATACTTATAAAGCAGGCACTCTACCACTTGAGGTACACCTCCAGTCCATTTTGCTTTGGTTATTTTGGAGATGAGATTTCTTGAACTATTTGCCCAGACTGGCTTTGAACCAAAACCCTCCCAATCTCATCCTCCCAAGTAGCTAGGATTACAGGCATGAACCACTACCAGCACCCAACTTGACCTCCTCTTGACAGAACTGGTAATTCAGAATTTAAGTGCCCTGTCAAAGAAGTCTCATTTTTTCTCTGACCAAAATGAATCCATTCATCATACTCCACTCAGCTCTGCCCCCTGGCCTCTGATCTGGAACACAGCAAACTCCTTCAAGGTCAGCTGCTGTTTGCAATGGGTTATGGGGCTCTCCTTCTCCCTTTTCTGACTCTTCCTTGCATTTAATAGGATTGACACCTTGTCTACAAATTATATTTCTATCAGGGGGACCTGAGAGAGGAATGAGCTGGAATCTTTGTTCTCTCACCTATCTCAGAAATCAGGGCAAGGTGCCCCTTGATGGCCACCGTCCCAAGCTTTTGGTCCATTGCTACTAGCATGCTTGATTCATCCAATGGTGACCACATCCTGGTCATCAGTCCGTTTTCTCTTTGTGAATCACAAGAAGTCAGGGCTGGGTTCAGTTCTTGGTGACCCTGCCCACATCACTTGGTTTCTGTGCCTCACTTGTTTTGATTGCAACACAGGAAGTTGGATCTCATGATCTTAAAGGAGAAATTGCATGTTACTGTGACCAAATGGCCAAGATGCACATGCAGGAATTTGATCCCTGGTGAGCACGAAAATGTTCAGAAAATCCTTGCTTCACCTATGACTTCATAGAATACGGGGTTCAGGCATTGACCCTGTTTTCATAGAGGTTGTAGGGCAAAGCTCTTAGGTAAAAAGGATTTATCTTTCTTTAGGGTGGCAAAAAGCTCCAAGCCATAATCGGTTTGAATTAGCCAGCATCATATCTCAAAACCATGCCAGTGTTCTTTCCCCTTATTCATTCCAGTGGTTGTAAGTAGAATCTTACTGTGGTTTTGGCTTGTGTTTATCTAATGACAAATGATATTGAGCATTTTTCCATGCCCTTCCTTTTTGGTAGATCTTCTTTGGAGGAATGTATATTCAAAGTCTATTGCTCGTATTTTGATTGAATTATCTTTTTAAATGATCTGTAAAGGTTCCTCATATATTATAGATACTACCCTTATCAGATATATTTCTGCAAATTGTTTTCCCCATATAATGAAATAGCTTTTTGATTTCCTGATAAAATCCTTTCACGTACAGAAGTTTTGAATCGGGGGCTTCACTCTGTCTCTGCCAAAGCATACACTCTGCCACTGAACTATGCTCCCAGCCCCAAAGTTTTTAATTTTGATGAAGTCCACTTTTTTCCGTGTTTTCTTTTGCTGCTTATGCTTTTGGTTTTAAATTTAAGAAACCACTGCCAATCCAAGATCATGAAGATTAACCCTTGTTCTCTTCTAAGACTTTTAATGACAGTCCTTACTTCAGGCCTTGGATGTAGTTTGTTCCTTTTTACAGATGGTGTGAGGTAAGGGCTCTATTTCATTTTTTGCATGTGGATATCCAGTTGTCTTAGCACCATTTGTTGAGGAAACTATTCTTTCTCTATTGAACGATCTTAGCACCCTTGCCAAAAATAAATCAAATACAGATGTTTGGATCTATTTTTAGGCTCTCTATTCTAATGCATCATTCTAATCCATGTCTACCTTTAAGTCAGAACCACACTGTTTTAATTATTGAGGATTTGTCATTAAGTTTTTAAATCAACAAGTGTTGTGAGTCTTCCCAGCTTATTGCTCTTTTCCCAAGATTGTTTTGGTGTTTTCATTTATTCTTTTCAATTGTATGTAAATTTTAGGGTCGGGTTTTCCATTCATGCATAAAGGGCCAATCAGATTTTTTCTTTTTTTTGTAGTACTGGGGTTTGAACTCAAGTCCTTGCACTTACTAGAAAAGCCCTCTTCTACTTGAGATACACCCCAGCCCAAAGAGTCGATAAAATTTTGATAGAGATTGCATTGATTCTGTAGGTCATTTTGGGGAAGCATTACTCCACAGTAATATTTAACAATATTAAATCTTTTAACCCTGCACAAAAGTATCAAACAATTTGAGACACTGTATGAACGACAACAAAAAAGCAACAAATAGAAATCATGCCATGTACAATAGCATCCAAAAGAGTAAAATACTTAGGAGTAAACAACCAAGGGAATCTCAAATCTATAAAATATTGCTGAATTAATTTAAGGAAGACCCGACTAGAGACAAAGCACCCCACGTTCATGGGCAACGTCCAATTTCTGTGTATTGATCTTGCATCCTACAACTTTGCTGAGTTCATTTATAAGCTCTAGTTCTTGTGTATGGATATTTCGGATTTTCTGTATCTCATCCTATGTATCGTTAGATCTCTGAAAACAGAGATAACTTTATTGCTTTTCCAATTTTAATGTTTTTTCCTTTTTTTTTTTTTTTGTTGCCTGATCTGGCTGTGGCTACAATTCCCAGTACAATGTTGAGTAAAGTGGTGAAAACATGTCTCCTTGTCTTGTTCTTGATTCTAGAGAAAATTTTTTCATTCTTTCATGGTTGACTCTGTTAATTGTGTTTCATGCATGGCCTTTATTATCTTGAGAATTTCCTTCTAATTATGAGTTTGGTGAGTGTTTTCTTTATCATGAAAGAGTGTTGGATCTTATCAGATGCGTTTTCTTCATTAATTAAGGTGATCATGCTTTTCTCTCCATTCTATTTTCATAATGTCCTCTGCTGATTAATTTTTGTATGTTGAATCACCTGTGCATTCCTTAGCTAAACCCTACTTGTTCATGGCACATGATCCTTTTAATATGCTATTGAGTTTGTCTTTGCTGGTATTTTGTTGAGAATTTTTATGTGTATATTCTTAAGGATATTAGTCTGTAGTTCTCTTATGTCTTTATCTGGCTTTGGTATCAGGGTAACATTGGCCTCAAAGAATGAGACAGGAAGTCTGAACCTCTGTTTTTAGGAAGAGTTTGGGAAGAGTGGGTGTTCTTTCTTTTTGGTAGAATTCACCAGCTAAACCCTTTAGCCATGGTCTTTTTCTTTGTTATGAGAAATTTTTATTTTGTCTTTTGTTTGTTTGTTTTACTATGATTTAATCTTGTTTCTTGCTCTATAGGTCTATTCCTATATTTTCTGTTTCTTTTTTGAGTTATATTTGGTAATTCGTGTGTTTCTAAGAACTTGTTTCATCTAGATTATCTAACTTTTGGTGTATAATTTTTCATGTAATTAGTAGTACTGTTTCAATATCATTTCTCACCTTAAGAATTTGAGTTTCCTTTTTTTCTCAATTGGTCTTATAAATTTTACTCATCTTGTTAAAGAACCAACTTTTGATTTTGTTGGTTATGTTTTCTGGTTCTGTTTTCCTGTTCTGTATTTTGTCTTTCTCCATTCTGATAATTATTTCCTTCCTTCTGCTAGCTTTGTTTAGTTTGTTCTTTTTCTATTTCCTTAAGGTAGAATGTTGGTTATTGGTTTAAGATTTTCCTTCCTTTTTAGTGTGGGTATTGATATGTATTATAGAAACTGAGCACTGCTTTCATTTGCTCCCATAAGTTTTGACATTTTATGATTTTGTTTACATTTGCCTGAAGGCATTTTCTAACTTCCGTTGAATCTTCTTTATCCATTGATTGGTTAATTTCCACAAATTTATGAAATTTCTAAATTTCCTTCTATTGATGATTTTTAGTTTCCTAAAACCATAGATACTTTCTATGGCTTCAGTCTTTTAAAACTTATTTAGACTTGTTTTGTGGTACAATATATTGTCTTTACTGGAGAATGATCCATGAGAATTTGAGAAGAATGTGAATTTCACTGTTATCAGAATATCCCATATATGCCTATTAGGTCTGTCGGTTTATCACATCCTCTCTTTTCCTTCCTTGCTTCCTTCCTTCCTTCCTTCCCTCCCTCTTATCCTTCCTTCCTTCCTCCTTCCCTCCCTCCCTCCCTTCCTTCCTTCCTTCCTTTTTTTTTTTTTTTTTTTAAGGAGACAGGGTCTCATTATATACCTCTGGCTGACCTCAATCTCACTATGTATCCCAGGCTGGACTTGAACTCACACTCTTCCTGCCTCAGCCTTCCAAATGCTGGGATTCTAGGTGTGCGCCACCATGGCTGACTCAGCTCCTCTCTTTCTTGAGGCAGTAACATGTCCAACTATTATTGTAGAACTATTTCTTTCCTTAATTCTGTTAAGTTTGTTTTATATATTTTAGGACTTGGCTGGTTATATGTGTATAATTGTTCCATATTCATTTTTTCATTCTGATAATTCCATACATGAATAAATGTACTTTGATCAAATTCACCCCTCTCTCTGTTGTTACATAATCTTGAGGTATTGACTTTTCTCTCAATTTAAGTTTTTTTGTCACTTAAAAAATGTTTGACTTAGCTGAGTGCTGATAGCTCACACCTGTAATCCTAGCTACATGGGAAGCTGAAATCGGGAGAATCTTGGTTCAAGACCAGCCTGGGCAAAAAGTTTGTGAGACTTCAATTCAACACAGTGGTATACACCTGTCTTCCCGAGCTACATGGGAGACTAAGGTCAGGAAAATCAAGGTTCCAGTCCAGCCAAGGCAAAAATGCTTGCAAGACCCCCATCTCAATGGGAAAATCTTGGCATGGTGGCACATGCCTGTCGTTCCAGGGACAGAAAGCATAAAAATAGATGGTCCAGACTGGCCTAGGCAAAAAGCAAGACCTGCCCCCATCTCCAAAATAACCAGTGCAAAAAGGGCTGGAGGTGTGACTCAGTGGTAGAATGCCTGCCTCACAAATGCAGTACCACCACCAAAAAAAAAAAAAAGTTTGACTCAGTCTATTTTGTGTTATAGAGCCACCTTTCCTTATCCCTGGTCTCTTTTGGTTATGTTTTGCACAGAATATATTTTCCAATCATTTCACTTTAAACCAAGTTGCATCTTTGGATCTATTGTGAGTCTTTTATAGACTACATATTATTGAATCATGCTTTTTAAAAAAAATTCATTCTGCTAATCACTGCCATTTGATTGGAGACTTTAATCCATTTATATTTAAAATAATTACTGATATGGAAAGACTTAATTCTGCCATTTTGCTACTTGCTTTGTATATGCCTTGCATCTTTTTTTGTTCCTCTATTTTATCTCCTTTTGTGTCAGATTTTTTTTTTGTAGAATGCCATTTTGATTCACTTTTTATTTCCTTTTCTTCATAATATAAGTATCTCTAAAAAATTCATGTCTATCTGGAACCTCAGAATGTAATAATATTTGGAAATACAGTTTTTGCAAGCATAATTATAAATTAAGATGCAGCTGTATTGGACCAGAATGAGCCCTAATGCAATGACTGGTGTCTTTATAAGAGAAAACAGAAAGACAGACAGACACATGAAAGAGGCCATGTGATAACTGAGGCAGCAGTTAGATTGGTGCATCTATAGCCAAGGATTCCTGGTAACCACTAGAACCTAGAGGGGCAAGGAAGGATTCTTTTCAAGAGCCTCAAGAGTGTGACCCTTTGACAACTTGATTTTGGACTGCTAACCTCCAGAACTGTGAGGGAATAAATTTCTATTGCTTTAAGACATTCAGTTTGTGGTACTTTGTTATGGTAGCCCTAGGAAAGTAATACACCTGGGTGTTACAATTGATAATTTAATCTGAATTAAAAACATGCTAGCCTCATTGATATATAAAATTCTGCCCCCTTTATGTTCTTGCTATCAGAAATTGTCTTTTATGTACATTACTTTCCTATTAACACTAAATTTATAACTATTGTTTTATGCATTTATCTTTCAAATCACATAGGGAAAAATGACTGTTTTTATTTTCTTGTCCTTTTATTTCAACCTGTTGGATTTCCTTTAGCATTTCTGTAGGGAAGAGCTACTAGTGATGAACTCCCCTGGCTTCTGTTTAATCTGGGAATATACTAAATCTCTTTGTTTTATTTATTTATTTTTGTGTGCTTGGTGCTAGGATTGAACCTAGAGCCTTGGGCATGCTAACCAAGTGCTATACCACTGAGCTACACCCCCAGCCCTTGTTGGCTTTTGGAGCCTACTCTCAATATGGAGCTCAGGCTGATTTTCCTGTCTCCACCTCCTAAGTGCTGGGGCTCTCTTAGACACACACCCTGATTTCCATCATTTTTGAAGGATAATTTTAAATTCATACAGAATTCCTGATTGGCAGTTTTGTTGTTTTTTTTTTCACTCTCTCTTTATGGTACTGTGTTTGCTAGATTAATACCACTTGAGCCATGTACCCAGCCCTTTTTGCTTTATTTTTCACATGGCGTCTTGTGGTTTTGCCTTTCATCAGATGTGGGGGATTTTTCAGCCATTATTTCTTCAAATATTCTTTTTGTCCCTTTCTCTCTCTCCTTTCCTTCTGGAACTTCCATTACACATATGTTGGTAGGCTTGATGATCTTCCACAGGTCCTTGAGGGTTTTTTCTTTTCCTTTATCCTTTTTCTTTTCTGCTCTACAGTCTGAATAATTTCAACTTATTTATCTTTAAGTACAATGATTTTTTGTTATATTGCTCTAATCTGCTTTTGAAGCTGTTCAGTGAATTTTTCATTCAACTGTGGTACTATTTAGTTCAAATTTCTGTTAGGTCACTTTTTATCATTTCTATCTGTTAATTTTATTTAGCTGGTAAGAACTAGGTGAGCAGATGCTAGTGATAACCACTGAAATTCTCTGTCTTGCACACAGGACAGCAACTGCCATGCTTAGTCAGGCCTTGTGCTTCTTGAGGCCTCTTTGCTAGGAACTGAACAGGAAGATACCGCTCGACCTCCTAGATTGGTAAAAAGGGGAGGCAGCCTGACAGCACCAGAAATACTGATGGTCCCAGAGATCAGATCCTGGCTCTGCCACCACCTTGTGATATAAAATAGAGCAGGTCATTTCCTTCATCTTGTAGTCCTTATCAATAGGATGATCAATTCACTCTGGTTTTCCTAGGACTTTCTTCATTTCAGCATTGAAAGTCTCATGTCCCCAAAAACCCATCAGACTCAGGAAAACCCTAGTCATCTGCAATAGAGAGATAAATACCACCTATCACAAAGTGGTATGAGGAATAGAAAGAAGACACAGGAAAACCTGGGTCATGGCTGGGTTGCATAAATTACTTAGTTGTTAGATATGCACAGTGCAGTCAGGGTCTTTAAGGATGGGGAATGACACACCAAATAGTTAACACTTTGACATATAGACTTGCTTCCATGGGGACCTGAGAGTAGAACCTGGAGAGTTTCCTGTTAGTTCTGCTTGACCATTTCTGCCAGCTATCCTTCTGGAAACATCGCAGTGTGTCAGCTCCCCACGTGCTGCAGAGGGAGAACCATCACCTGCCTCTTTAATGACATGCCTAACTTCTTCCTGGCCCTGTTCAATGGTGAAGGACAGGGCTGTGTTCACTACAATATAAAGCCCTGGTAAGTGCACTGGGGAAGTGGGGGCACTGAGGTGGTAACTATGAGTCCCTGGTCAAAGAAGGGGCCAGACTGTGTCCAGAGGTCTAGAGAGAAAGTGCTGAGGCAGTGCCTACCAGAACATAGGTACTTTGAGGCTTGATTCCTGCCTACCAATGAGATGGGCAACTCCCAAAGTCCATCTCCATTTGGTAACTCAGCACTAATATCTTGATTAGTTGGCCAGATTCACAGATTTTTTTTTTTTTTTTTTTTTTTTGCAGTACGGGAACCCAGGGCCTCATGAATGCTAGGTAAGCACTATACCACTGGGTCTTATCACCAGCACCACTCTCAGAATTCTTTAGTGAAGAAAAATATCTTATGCTAAGAGTAGGTGGGGAGAGGCATGGACACCACTTCTGTGATATATTAGTTACTTTTCCCACCGCTAGTCTAGTTGCTATGGCAAAATACCTGATGCAAACAATTTAAGGAAGGAAAGATTTATTTTGGCTCCTAGTTTCAGAGGTATAAGTCCATCGTGGCATAAGCAGAGCAGTTCATATCAAGATGCTCAGGAAACAGAGAAAAGGGTGCATAGGAAGGTGTCAGAGCCCTCAAAAACTTTCTCCTAGTGACCTGCTTCCTTCAACTAGGCCCCATCTCCTACTTTTTACCATCCCAGTAATGCCATCAGGGGATTAATCCATTTATTACTGTCAGAGCCTGCAAGATCTAATCATCTCTGAGAAAGTTATCACAGACACACCCAGTGGTGCACTAATCTGTTTTTCAATCCAAACAAGTTGGCAAGATTAACTATTAAATCTGGTGTCTCTTAAGAGAAGCACATTTTCTTGCCAAGCAAAGGTTGTCTGGCTTTTCATAAGGAGCTGTTCTTGGAAGGAATGACTTACTCTCATGTTATACATGTACTAGTTCCCATTTTGATGCTTGATATCTTGTGTGCTCAGAATCATGGACTACAGGACAAATTCCATTTCTTCCCCTGTAGAGTTTCTCCTGAGCCTCCATTATCCCCTTCACACTAACCCTTCCCTACAGACTACCCTGGTAGCACGAATAGGTGTTAAGGGGTCTTAGACCATAGTAGGGGAAAGTGAGGCTGCCTACAGGACTCCACCATTGCCCCCACCTGGAGGAGATTCTCCCAGCCCTGCCTACCTGTAGCCTGTAGTGATTGAGGGCTTCCTGAGGAGCCTGGCAGCAGCTTCTCACTTCTGTGTATCTCCCAGCTGCTCATATGTCTTGGTCTTGGATGAGGAAGGCGGGATCACCAATGACCAGAAGGGCTACGTAGTCCACAAGTGGAGTTGGACTTCCAGGACAGAGACTTTGCTCTCCCTGGAATACAAGGTAGGAATACATGGACATGATGGCAGCCTTGCATGGCTGCCTAGCATTAAAAAACAAGGGGCTACCTATAAGATAAGAGTTCTGTCCTCAGGGAGCTGTGGCCTCATTCAGAGGTTCCAAGTTGGTGGGCAGTGGTCCAGGGCTAACTAAAGAGCAGCTTTTGCTTTTACCAACCTACAGCAACTGTTGGCTGCTCTTCTGGCCTTTCATAGCAGTATCTTTCTAATTAATTTTTATTATTTATATTGTTATTGTAAAATGTCCTTTATTTTATGAAGCAATAATCAGCACAGTTGAGAACTTTATTTTTAATGCCTATTTGTGGCAATAATAAGTTAGTGATTTTTTTTTGGACGGGGTCTTGTGATATAGCACAGGCTGGCCTCCCTCTCACATTTCTCCTGCCTCCACCTCCCAAATGCTGGGATTATAAGTATGTACCATCATGCCCAGCTATTTAGCAATCTATTTAGTTCATTGTTATATTCCCTGGAGCTGCACAGCAGAGGTCTACCCAGTTAGGCATGACCTAGAAGAGAGAAGGTTGTCCTTGAGTCAGAACATAGGGGTGACTGTTTATGACTCACACAAACAGAAAAGGAGGAAGGAAGAGCATGACAGGTTGAGTGGCACCTGTAAGGCTTGATATTGGCACTACATGAGGCATCTTTTAAGTGTTCACAAGTGCTTCCCATGAAAGAAAGGGGTGAGGCAAAAGGAGCATGTGATGTAAGGGGGGTGAGAGGCACTGGGTATCCAGGCCAAGAGTTTGCATGCTGTCTGGGGATCAGTTTCTTTTTAAATAAATGTTCAGTGTCTTCATTCCTCCCTGAAAATCCAAGCTTCCCTCTGTATCATTTCTCTCCAACCTAAAGAATTTCCTTTGGCATTTCTTAAAATACAGATCTTCTGGCAACAAATTCTGTTTTCTTTCATGTGAAAAATCTCTTATGAAAGGATATGTTTGCTTTCTTTATTTCTTTCAGCATTTAAAAATATTGTTCTACTGTGTCTATTATAAACTATCCTCCATAGTTTATGATGAGAAGTCTGTAGTTATTCAAATCACTGCTCGTTTTCTCTAGCTGTTTTCAAGATTTTCTCTTTGGCTTTTTAAGAGTGATGTGGTGTGGGCATCTTCATGTTTATTCTATCTGGAGTTTACTGAGGATTTTTCGTTTTTTAAGTTTTTTAGAAAAGGTCTCACTGTGTTGCTTAGGCTGGCTTTGAACTCATGATCCTCCTGCCTCAGCCTCCTGAGTGCTGGGATTGCAAGTGTGCCACCACTATACTGAGCTTTTTGGATCTGCAAATTTATGTAAATTCACTTCACCGAATTTGGGAAATCTCCTAAGTTATTGTCAGAATAAAAAACTGTGCTCCAGTCTCTCCATGTCTTCTGAGATTCCAATCATATGTGTATTAGACCTCTTAATATTGTCTCGAAGGTCCTTCAAGGTCTGTTTTCTTTGGGTTGTTTTATTGTTCTATTTTTTTTTCTCTCTATTTTTTGGATTGGATGATTTCTCTTGATCTATCTTCAAGTTCACTGACTTCCTTCTATCATCTCCTTGTGCTATTATGCTAATCTTTGAATGCTTAAAATTTCATTTAAAGTAGAATTTCCTTTAGTTATTTTTACATTCTGTATCTTTCTTCTGAGAATTCCCAATTTTGCAATTCATTACAAATATATTTTCCTTTATGTCATTTAATATACTTGAATTATCTGCTTTACAGTCCCTGTCTGAAAATTTCTGTGTCTTGGTCACATCAGGATTGCCTCTGTTGACTACTTGTTGCCTTGAATATAGCTAACTATTCACTAGTTCCTCATCTGTGGAGTAATTTTGGATTGTAGGCTGACATTGTGAATGTTGTGCTGCTGAATCTCTGAATGGTTTCTTTCTCTAAAGAGCATTGATATTTGTGTTGTAATAGAACTTGGTTACACTGAAACCCATACTTTTTTTTCATCTGCAGTGGGCAGCAGCTCAAATCTCAGTTCAGATTTTTATTTCCCTAGCTGTAATCTGTCTTATGTCTATGTGCTTGTGTGAGATTCAAGGATCAGCCAGGGATGTGAACAGTTCATGCACAGAATTCTGGGCTCTCCTGTGCTCTGGGTTCTTCACCCAGAAAGGTGGTCACCTGCTTTCAAGCTAGAGATGTGAAACAGAAACTCGTCTCATGCTGGGCTTTATATCTGGGCTTCCCTTCAAAATCTGCCAGTTTTTGTTCACTCTTCAGAGCCTTTGTTTTTTGTATTTTTTTTCATGTTTATAGTTATCTGTTGGAGGGTCAGCCTATTAGGAACTGGCTCAGCTATCCTGGAAGCAGGGCTCACTTGGTGTAGAAGCTTGCAGGAAAGGGAGAGACCACTGGATGGAGTAGTCATGAGACTAGGTGGGGTCTACTAGCTAGAACTGAAGGATTAAAGATATTAGCAATATTTTTGAAAAAGGGTCTATTTAGGCTAGGGGTAGGTCACGTGGTAGGGCCATTTTAGTAGAAGGACTCAGTGGCCTTTGGATACGGGCATAGGAAGGATGAGAGGAGGCTGGGGTACAGGTGGCCCATGTGGAGCATGAGTGCAAACAGGGAGGTCTCCTCGAGGATCGGGGATCAATGTGGTTTTAGATGTGCCATGGATCCTGACCTAGGGCGAGAGACTGGGGAGAAAGAATAGGCTATGACAGGCTGCTAGTGAGCTGTGAAGGAGAAAAACCATGACTGAACTGTAGAGCACCCATATAGGGGCACTGGGGGAGAGAAAGAGAAAGCATCCAGAGAGCAGGTAATAAATAACAGCTGCACCATGCTCAGCCTTAGGTGTATTTTAATCCATGGAACATGCTCAGCACACTCAGAAAAAGATTCCTTTATTGTCCTCAGCTCAGAGAAACTAACCAATTTCTTATAATTGTCCAACTGGTAATTGGCAACACTGGGATTTGAACTGTGTCTCACTGCACGGTTGATCTCTCAACCTCATCTCTATTCTACATCGCTCTAGAAGGAGAACAAGAGTAGGTAGAATTTCTCTTAAAGAAGAGTAGTCAATAAGTTTGGAATATCAGAAGACTTGGCAACTTGTGGTTCAGTGTGTTTGGGTACTGAGAGGACAGCATCCAGACAGCACAACGTGAGGAAGAGACTCAGTGGTGAGGAACTGGAGTGCTGGCCACTGGGCCAACAGCTGAAAAGTGGAAAGAAATGGAAGCAGAGTGCTGTCTTGCTCCAAGGCATCCTGGTGTGTTTGTAGGTGAAGGGATGTCATAGTTCAGGGACACTGAAGATAGCACAGCAGTGGAGGACTGCATGCTCTAACAGCCTCGGACAGGGCCATCATAGATAGATGGTGCCCCACACCTGCAAGCGGCCCTAGAGACCTACCTGTGAGTTACTCTGCTGCATCCTAACACTATCAACTCATGTCGGGCAGGGACCTTTATGACTTACAAAGTTACTCTGACATTTTTCCTCATTTGAACCTAACAATCATCTTTCAACTATTTCATGTTGAAGAACTTGAGATTAAGGGAGATTAAGTGGCTTTCCAACAAAAGACAGACTGGGAGTCATTCTAGACCACAGAGTGCTCAGTAAGGAGTGTGTTATTATAAGGGTATTTCACCTCCCCTGGGTTCCTGTCTGGGGCTGCTAAGGAGGAAGCCCCATTCTTTTAGAAATGGGGAAGAGTGACTTCTTCCCCTTCCCTGACTGTTGGAGGGAAGAGCAATGATTTATTTGGTGACTTTAGGGAAAGGCACTGAATATGTGTGGCGTGTGTGAATTTGCCCACCCACCTGCAGGGGTTGCTTTCTGGTGCTCCCTGCAGGTGACCACCTTCCCATCTTTTGTAACCAAGACTCGAAGTCAGACCTGGCACCTGAGTAGTCTCATCTCTGAGTGGGACAGGGCTGCATCCCCTAGTCCAGCCTTGCATGACTCAGGCTGATACATCTGCCTGACACCTGTGTCTTTTTCACAGCTTGTGCAAGCTTGTGTTGAAAGAGAACAAAAGCAAGGGGAAGGAGGCATGGGTTATTTTCTCAGTTTGTTCCCATAGAGAGACTGGAACTCTTTTGCCTTCTCCAGGAAAGCTGAATTCCAGCATAAGAACAGAAAGATCTTATAAACCTTCAGCCCCAACCAAGTGGGTTTTGTGCTTGTGGTGGTTCGGGAAGGTATAGGTGGGACAGTAGAGGCAGGCGACCTACGAGTGCTGGTTTCTTCATCTGCAGGTGAACAAGCAAATGAAGCTAACAGTGCTGGGGCAGGACTCCATCATGGTCACCTTCACTTGCCTGAATGAGACAGTGACACTCTCTATATCAGCGAAAAACTGTCCACATGTCATGACACCTGAAAAACGGGTAAGGCAAAGCAGACCTCAGGGCATCTCAACTGAGATGAAGCTTGCCACTTCATATCTTAGATTTTTGCTCCCACTTCCTATCACCCTCCCAAGCAAGTCCCTACCTCTTTCTCTGCTACCGTTCATTGCTTAACCTTAATACCACCTTCTCTGTGACCTGGCTGAATCACTTAGGAGTCTTTCAATTGTCAGCAGCAGAACCCAATGTGGACTGGCTTAAACATGAAAAGAAAATCTGTTGGCTCAGGAAACTCTAAGTCGGTTGATATGCAGCTTCAGATGGCTGTATCCCAAGCCCTCAAGTGATTCCATCAGATCTTCCCCTCCTTTGGTTCTACTTTGCTCTTATCAGATTTTTTTCTCAGAGTTTCTCTCCTGTTGGCAACAAGTTGGCCATGCTCTCTGGTCTATTATTCTATCAGCTCTAGTGCTCTAAGTCTTGAGTAGAAGTACCAACATTGTGTATTTGGGAGGTCCTGGGTTCCATCCCCAACACTGGGGGAAAACAGAAGAAGGAAAAAGAAAAGGAGAAAAAAAGAAGAAAAAGTGCTAACGTCAACACTCATTGGCTGTGTTGGCTGCCCATGACTGACAGGTTGTCCGTCGCCAGGGCTATGTGTTGTTCCAACTGGCAAGACTTGATGCTCATGTCCATCCTGGGCCAAGGCATGAAATAAGCCCCAAATGAACCACCAGGGAAGCAATGAGGCAGAAATATTTTCTAAAGGAAAATCAAGAGGCTGACTGATAATGCTGAGCAGAATAACTACAAATGATGGCACTGTCCACCACTCCTGTCCCCTTCCAGGTCAGTCTGTCTCTAACTCCACTTGGCTTTCTCGGCTGTGGCAGCCTCCATTCCAGCCCTCCTTTATTTACTAATCAAATCAGTCTAATGTTCCAAACTGAGAATCCTGTGATTCTTACTACTGCCTGTTGAGGTCCAAATTATGTACCCTTGGTAACCATGAGGGATTGGTTCTAGGATCTCCCATAGATACCAAAATGTGCAGATGTTATATAAAAAGACATGGTATTTACATATAACCTGCGTGTATCCTATGTACTTTAAATCATCTCTAAATTACTTAAAATACCTACTGTGATGTAAATGCTTTGTAAATAATTGTTTTACTGTACATTCAGGGAATAAAGAAAAAATCTGTACATATGCAGTACAGATGAAAATTTTTTCTGAATATTTTCAATCCACAGTTGATTAAATATGAGGATGCAGAACCCAACAGATACAGAGGACTGACTGCACGTTCCCAGTATTTGTTGGTGGGTGAAAATATAGCACAGACTTTTACAGTCTGGTTCTTTCATTCACTGGGTCTTCATGGATCCTACTATGAACCTGATGTTAAGTCAACATCTTGAACAGAGATGGAGAGGATGAAGAGGAAGTCATTCCTAAATGTTGAGGAGACAAAAGACTGTACTTGATATGCAACATAAGACTGGCTAACCAAGTACTTGCCTGTGTGCAGAATACTGCTGCATTCCCCTGTGGGTGTTTTGCTGGGATTGGCTTATAGAAGCAGATGTAGGGGACCACACCTTCCAGTTCACCCAGGGTCAGTTCCAGTTTACACCTGGAGGAATTACAAATAGCATCCCATTTCCCTCTCAAAAGTGTCTCAGCTTGGATTATAAATTATAAGAGCTTGATCAAGAGGCTCTTCAGCTCTGGGGACATTTATCATGGTATGCCACAAGCTCCTAGACCCTCAGAGCTGGCAGACTTTAAAGGACATCTGGGCCTTTACTCTCAAGTTACATAGGTACACAGGGCAAGCATTTGTAAGAGATTCATGTTACCTGAGGAAGACACAAAAAACATCCACAGTTCTCCTTCAGGAAAACATCATCCCTGCTTTTCCCTTGCATTTTAATTCTAGCAGTAGTTCTCCTTCACTCATTTATTAACTAATTCAACAAGCATTTAGAAACACCTGCAGTGTGCCAAGTTGGCTGCTGGATATATGCAAATAAAGCTTCTCTTTCTCTAGTCTCTGGAATACTTTCAGTCTGATGGAAGGGGGCAAAAGTATTTATACCAATTATAATACAGAGTAGTGTGGTTGACAATTCAGAGGCACATGGGAGCCGCTGGGGCATGAGAAGAGAAAGTGTTCATGAAGGGGTCCCACAGGAAAACCCAGGAAACTCAGGTGCCTGTGAATTGAGCCCGTGCTGGTTACTTTAAAGAGAAAACTAGCACAGTGGGCTGGCATGAAGCTCAGAGGTACAGTATGTACTCTAGTGCTCTTGCATGTATGAGGCCCAGGGTTCCATCCCTAGCACCAAAAAAGAAATACAAGGAAAAATAGCCACAGGATTTGAGCCCATCTGGGCTGAGATGAATGTTCTTGCATATTGATCCGCTGTCATGTCCATTTGGTTCCATATTCTTACTCTAAAAGTCATTGTTAAGTACACACTATGAATGAGGTCACATGGATACATTGCTTGGAATCTTTTCCTGCAAACCTGCAAACCTCTGATTATCTCTGAGTTTTCTGAGAACCAGTACATAGCAATTAAAAGACCCCCATGAATGGCTGAGAGAAATCCATGCACACACATGCCCTCTAAGGCAGGGAAAACCCCTCCGTAATTCAAATCTGATTTTTCCCTTGCCTTAATGCAGCTGTAGCAAGCTAGAATTAGAAGTCCAGAGCTGTGCTGTCCAATGTGGTAGCCACAAGTCACACATGCCTGTTGAGCCTTTGAAACGTAAGGAGTCCAGATTGATACAGACTTTAAGTAAAAATACACACTGCATTCCAAAGACTCATTGTGAAAAGAGAATGTCAAATTTCTCAATAATTGCCTATTTTGATTTCGTATTGAAATGATCATATTTTTATATGTGGTAAAATAAATATATCACCAGAATTAATTATACCTTTTCAAATGTTTTTATGTGGCTGCTAAGCACTTAAGACGTTACATTTCTACCCCATGCAGGTATAGAGGCAGGGTCCCCATCAAGGGATGCTCACAAAAGCATGGTTTGACAGTGCAGTAGAAGGTTGAGAAGTTACTTAAAATGACACAATAACTCAAAGAGCAAAACTGTCTTAGCGACGTTTAACACAGGGATAAATAGACCACTACATTAAAATAGCCTCAGAGGCAGTGCTACATTGTAGATGATAAGACTGGCTTGCCAAAAAAGTGTTCTGATCATAGCCTCTTCTATTTGAGAATGCAGAGTTTGTACTATAGTATATATTACAACTTTCTAACTGGAAAAACTAAGCAAATGAATAAATACCATGGTTTACTGTGAGCAGCAGGATTTCCAATTGTTGGCCTTAACTTCCTGGTTTAGTGTTTCAGGATATTTTTACATGAGCTCCTCAGGCTCAGACAATTGGCTCATTTTAGATTCTTGGGCCAGGAGAGGTGCAAGGACCAAGAGTATTGGTGCTGGCAAAGAATCTAGGCCAGGAAGAGACCACAGGCCCTTGTGCCAGACCCGTCCCTGGTTGAGCCTCAGTTTCCCCATCTGTAAGGGTCCCTCCAACTTTAACATGCTCCCATCCTGGGACTTTTACAATACATTCAACTCCACCCTGGTGTGTGCTTATATGGGGCTGGTTCTACAGAAGGCATCTCTGCCTAGGAAAGTGGGTCTGGGGGAAAAGTGACATCCTCCCTCCAAGTCTCTGTCATTGGGAAGCTTGTTAAATGGTTTCCCCAGGCACCCATCATCCCAGAAGGAGCCAGCCATCATAGTGACAGGCAGAATGGCAGTCCCCCGCTTTTACAACCCTGAGGCCTAGTTCCTCACTAAGTATTTCTATTGAGGCAGCACTTTGAAACCGAGGCAATGCTCTGATTTAAATGCTTTATTAGACTGCAGTGCTGCCTCAAATCCTTTTCTGGAAGCAGACTGGGTGTAAATTACAAATAAATAAAATTAGCCCAGAAGCAGTGACTGGCCAACACTGGGAAGGATAGTTGAGGCTTTGCTATTAATTGGAGCCATTCTTCACAGAATTCCTGCCCGCAGAGGAAAGAAGGACACAGGGCCTGATTCTGTGGTTCTCTAGAACATCTATCCACTGCCGCAGAAGAACTTTTTTTTCTTACTTCCATTGTGTTAAGTGATATAGATAGAAACCATAGATCCTGCCCTCAAGGAGATAGATGGTCAAATTTAGGGATAAAGGAAGTAAAAATGAGTATGACCCTGGGGCAGACAGCTTTGGAATGGGCGGATGTGGAAGTTCAGCAGAGAGGAATTGCCATTGGCTGGAAAAATCAGGAAAGGCTTCCTAGAAGAAAAGTCAGACCCAATTACAAGTAACTGGAATCTGAGTCTGGTTTTGCAGACTCACGGAGATGTCCCAACTGTTCAGAGCAGGTTTTAGGTCACGTTCCCCAAGAAACAGGCCCTGGAATGGAAATTGGTGTGCAGGAGTTTACTGGAGACAACTGGGAATAGCCCTTTGAGAGTCTGGGTAGAGGGACAGGTTGAACTGGAGGGTAGCCAAAGCAAAGGCCTCTGCCATCCCACAGGTAGACTGGAGACAGCTTGGGAATAATCCTGAGTGGGAGGGCTGGGCCTTGATCCCCATAGTGACCAGCCCATTTCTATAACCTTGGCCAACAGTGATCTGTGAGCTGGGAGATGGCAGTAAGCAATTCTCTGGCATTGAGTGATGCCCTGCAGCATTCACTACAGAGGGAGACATTGTCCACCCAGTTATGGCTGCAACAGCATTTATCGAGCACCTTCTGCATGATCCCAAAGGAGATCAACACTCAGCCCCTGCTGAAGGAGCTTCTAGAAGCTCCTTCTAGGAGCTTATGGTCTAGTGGGGACACAGGTTCAAACATACCTAATTACTTGGTAAAGTGCTAAACGGATTTGCAGCTGCATAGAGATGATGTTGGGAATCGAGACCAGGGGCAGTCTGCCCAGTAGAATCAGGGAAACCCTCCAAAATGTTTCGGGTCTGAGCCCAGATGGAGTGGCAAGTAACTGGGTGGGGAAGAACAGTGGTCTGTTCCAGCAGGAGAGGACAGCCACGCATCCTTCAAAGCAAAACAAATCCTGCTGAGTAGGCCAACAGCTACTCAAAGGACAGGTGGCCACTGCCCTCATCCTCTGCCTCCCTCCAGATTACCCGCAGAATCAACAGCATTGATGAAAAGATGCTGAAGATGAACCGAGCCTTGGCTGAGATCAAGAAGCGGTTTCAGAAGACAGTGACTCAGTTCATGAACTCTGTCTTGCTGGCAGCAGGTGAGGGGTCAGAAGGGTGGATGAAGGCCTAGTGGATGGCTTCCCAAATCCTGGGTCACCTGTTCAGCTCTTTACTGTGGATCCTCTTGAGTTGGAGCCCCCAGGAAGGTAGGAGCCCCGGGGGTATTTCCCCAATTTTGGAAGGCATCACCAGACTCTACTGACTGCAGGGATTTGCCCAAGGCCACAGAGTTGAGATGGGTGATCTGGGCCAACTTCCATTTCTGAGCTCTTCCCTGTGTCTTTGATGTCTCCATATGACTGTCATATGTTCCTGAGCCTCACATTGTCTTTCTGTATCCTCCTAGTCCCCTTGCTACACCCCTTGTTCATCCATTATCCTTCTGAGCCTCCATTATCTCCCTTAGTGGAAGATCTCTGTACAAGAGAAAAAGCAGATACCCCACCAGACTGTCCTTGTAGGCACAGTGCATACTCAGGCCAAGCATGGGTGGCCTCAGGACCCTACCACATCTGGACTCTTCTCCTCACTGCTGATGGGCCTGAAAACAAAGGGACATTGGCTACTGCTCTATGTCATCCCCTAGCTGGGCCTGGGCCGGGGGAGGAGGAGGTTTCTCCTTGTCCCTAGAGATTTAGTTAAATTTTTCTCTCCTCTGGGAGCCTTGCTCAACTTCCCCAGCAGAACAGTCACATCCTTCTCTGGGATCCTACCACTCCTATGTGTGCTCTAATTACAAATCTTACTACCTGGCATTCTGAATATTTCCTTATTTCCACATCCTCCCTGCCCTACAGCTAGTGCTCAGAGGCAGGGAGCCCAACCTCCGTTTGTCTCTGTATGCCTCGTATCCTCATTCAGTAAGTGGTTGGTAAGTAAATAAAGAAATGAGAGACTCCCGGCCTCAAAATTTTCCGAGTCTAGTAGGGAAAGCCAGGCAAGAGTATAAATAAATACAATACAAAAAGAAAGTAGGTGAAATTGACTTCAGTCTGGAGACATGGGAACAGCATTCTCGGAAGGGAACTGTATGAGCCAGAAACGGATCACATACCTAGCCTCAATGTAGGGTGCTGTGGAGGACACAAAGCTGAGAGGAACGCAGACTACTGGAGAAGGTGAGGTTGAAGCTGGGTCTTGGAGAATGTGCTGAAATGAGATCTCAGGCTGTATTAGAGTTGGAGCACTGTGCTTGAAGGCAGGCTGGGCAAGAAGATTAGTGGGTATGGAGAGGCAGGGATGGACATGAACCAAAGCAGGATCCAATAGTCCAATGGTGGGAGCCCAGAAGCAGGGGCAAAGACAGTCCAGGTGTGCAGGAAAGCAGCACAGCATCTCTGCTAACAGGCCTGTTCACCATAAAATATCCCACCATAAAGGAAGAGGCAGAACTTGGCCGCATCAAGATGAAATCTGGGTCTTATCCAGAGCGAGGCCGCAAGCCAAGTTCGTACACAGGAGAGATCTCTTCACGATCCCAGTCAGCCCGACAGGATTCCGTAATTGAAGACTCTTTGAAGGAAGAGGCTGGGCCAGCTCCTGTGATCCCTGCCTGGAAGAAGGACATCAAAATCCAGCCCAAACCCACTCCCAGGTTGGTTTAATCCTTCGTTTCTTCCATAGCACCAGTGCTCTGACAAACTGCAGAGATATTATGGGAACCAGATAGGAGTTCACGTTCTAGGAGTGGGGAAAGATGGAAGATGAACAAATGAAATAATTTTAGATAGTGATCAGGGGTAGAAAGAAAGAATATCAGAGTAGCACATCATGGTAGGTGTTGGTCACAGGCCAAATCTAGACTTGCAACCTACTTTTATGAACAAGCTAAGAACAGTTTTTACATTTTTAAGTGCTTGGAGGAAAAAAGTCAAAAGAGGAATATTTTATGACACATATCATGATAGGAAATTCAACTGTAAATATCCATAAATAAGACTTTATTGGAACATAGCCACGTCCATCATTTATATACCACAGCTGCTTCCCTGAAATGATAGAAATGTTGGGTAGTCATGACAGAGAGGATCCAGGCTGCAAAGCCTGGGGTATTGACTGTCTGGTCCTCTGCAGAAAAGAACCCCTCCCTGGGACAGAGAATGACCGGGAAGTGGGCTGGCATGGGCTCCATCCACTACAGGGTTCAGGGAAGGCAGTTGTAAGGTGTTTAAACGCAGAGATGAAGGATGAGTGATAAGTGGTACCAACAGATGTGAGGAGGGAATGTCAGAGAGTGCAGCAAGTCCAAAGGCCCTAAGACAAGAACAAGTCTGGTATGTGAGAGACAGTAAGAAGGTCAGTGTGGCTGGAGTGTCACAAAGAAGGGGGCAACTGGCAGCGTGCATTGAGAGCAAGGGGAGGCAAGAGTTGGATCAAATAGCATTGTTAGTGCAATTGAAAGCCATTCCAAAAACTTTAAGAAACTAAGCAACCTCATTTTTAAAATTTAAAATGTTAAAATATTAAAAATATATCTATACTGTTTTAAAATGCAGAATGCACAGAAAAATGAGCAAATCCTACATGCATAGCTCTATGAATATCACAGAGTGAGCATACCCCTATAACCACCAAATAGACAACTGCTGTCTCCTCTTGCCTCTCCCAATCTCTCACCTCCTCCTTCCTCTCCAGATGGAACATTTCTTTTTTTTTTTATTATTTTATTATTCATATTAGATGGAACTTTTCTAACACCATAACTGGGTTTTTGTTGTTGTTGTTTTGGTAAATTCTGGGTCTGGTGCTTGCTAGGCAGGTGCTCTACCACTTGAGCCATGCCTCCAGCCCTTTTTTGCTTTAGGTTATTTTTCAGATAGGGTCTTGCTTTTTGCCCAGGCCAACCTCAGACAGCAGTCCTCGAGATCTTCGCCTTCTGAGTAGCTGGGATTACAGGTATGAGCCACTATGCCCAACTCTAGTTTGTAATTGATTTTTAAAACTTCATTTAAATGAATCTGTTTGGTATATCTTGGTGTCTGGAAAATGATTCTTTTTTTACTCTGGTAATGGTATCTATTGATGAACAGATGTTATTAAATTTAATATCCAGTTTTAAATGTTTTCCTGTATAATTGGAGTTTTTCATAGCCCATTTTAAGAGCTTTCCCTTCTAAAACAGCACGATTATATTCTATGAAGTTTTTTTTATTAGCCTTTTAGTATTAACTTTTATATCCACTCTCCACCTGGAAGTATCTTCTGCATATGATGTGCAGCAGGAGCCAAGTTTACACAATAGGTATATGTAATTGATCCAGGACCACACTGAAAAGTTTGTAACTTTCCTCAGCTCTTCGGTACAGACTGTCATAAATTAAGTATATATATATATATATATATATATATATATATATATGGGTTACTGTACTAAACTGTCTTAATTATCACTTTATAGTAAATATCCATTCACAGCAGAGCAAGTCCTCAAACTTTGAGAACTCAGAATTGTTTTGCTGTTCACAGCCCTTTAAATTTCCATGCACTTTTGGAATCATCCCTCAGCATTTTAAACTGGATTTCAACTGAGGTGTTAACGTCCTTGCGATGTGGAGTGTTTCAGTCCACAAACATGGTGTATGCTTTTATTCCCTCTCTATGGGGTATTTTTCTAGTCTTCAGCATCGAGGTCTTATATGTCTTTCTTCAGGTTTCTTCTAGGGCATTGACTAGTTTTGGTGCTATCATAGGTTGTGTTTTTAATTTGCTTTCTCTTTGTTGCTGGTCTATAGAAAAGTAATTGATTTTGCTTCAATTTCAATTTATTTTTAGTTTACTTGTAGCAAAATTTACTCTTTTTTGGTATAAAAGTCTGAGTTTTGACAGATGCATATAGTTGTGAAACCAACATCACACAGTCAAGATGCACAAAAATTCCATTACACCCCTCCTCACCAGAAAAAGAAAGAAATTCTCTTATATTATCCTTGATAGTCAAACACTTCCATCACTCTAGCATGCACTCTCTCCTCCCTCCACTAGCAGTTGCTGGTCTATTCTCTGTAGCCATAGTTTCACGTTTTCCAGAATGTCGTATAAATGGAATTACACTGTAAATAGACTTGCAACACAGCTTCTTTCACTTACATAATGCATGCAAGGCTTATACATGGCTTTAGTTTATTTCTTCTTCTTCTTTTTTTTTTTTTTGGTGGGACAGGGGTTTGAACTCAGGACTTTGAGCTTGCAAAGCAGGCACTCTAGTCCATTTTGCTTGGTTATATTTTGGAGATGGGATCTTGTGAACTATTTGCCTGGGCTGCCCTCGAGCCAAGATTCTCCCAGTCTAGGATTCTCCCAGGTAGCTAGGATTACAGGCATGAGCCACCAGCATCCAGCTTTGATTTCTTTTTATTGCTGAGTAGCAGCATATTTTGGGAGACATCAACACAGTCCTAACATTCAGAGAAATACTAGAACTCCTGAGATCATCAGATAATTGTACTCATGGGTAAGGTTTATTGCTGTGAAAGAACACATGATAGGATTGGCAAGAGAAGATAATACAGCTAAAATCCTTAGATAACCATGCATGGGTAAGGGGTACACCAACCATGCTGCTTTCTCCAACAGCAAAACAATGCAATAACACGTATGCAATGTTTCTAAAGCCTTAGAACCAAGGTTTTTATTGGAGGCTGGTTGCATAGCACCCTCTTCCTAACCAACGGCCAGGATTCTAGACTATGAAAGGGAAAGTGGACTGCTCCAAGCCATCCAGGTGTAGAGCAAGAAATGGCTTGAGTGTCAAATTCCCAGACACCAGCCACAGGCCGCCCATGTAAGCAGTCCTTCTAAAGACAGCAGCCTTGGGCCTTCTAACATTAACCATTTTCTGCATCTGTTACATAGCATAGATGTGTAAAATTTTGTTTATCCATTCAACCACCAAAAGATATTTGGACATTGTTTCCAATTTTTAGTAATTATACATAAAACTACTATAAATATTCTGGGGCATTTTTTTATATGAGCAGAGATTTTCACTTCAACTGGGTAAATGCTTAAGAGCCGCATTGCTGAGTCACACAGTAAGTGCTCATTTATTTTTTTATTTTTTGCATTCCTGGGCTTGAACTCAGGTCCTTCACCTTGCCCTTTTTTGTGATGGGTTTTTTTTCAAGATAGGGTCTTGCAAACTATTTGCCCAGTCTGGTTTTAAACTGCAAACCTCCTGATCTCTGCCTCCTGATTAACTTTATAAGAATGTGCCAGGCTATCTTCTCAAGTAGCCGTACCACATTGCACATCACTGTAGCAATGCATGAAGTTTTGTTAATACTCGGTATTATCAGAGGGTTTTGTTTTTGTTTTTGTTTTAAAACAAGTTCTCTTTGTCTAGCTGAGGCTGGCCTGGAGCTGGAAACACTCTTGCCTCAGGTTCCCTAGTACTGGGATTACGTCACGTGCCATCACACTGGGCTTGGTGCTTCTTTTTAATAGCCACGCAGTGATAGTCCATGACCATTTTAATATGCACTTCCCTTAAATTTGTCATAGACTTATTTGCCATTCATATTTTCTCTGGTGAAGTGTCCATTCAAATTTTTTGCACATCTTAAAATTGGATTGTTTTGTTATTGCTGAATTTTGGGAGTTTTTTATTCTGGATAAAAGTCCTTTGTCAGATATGTGATTTGAAATATCTCTCTGTCTATGACTTGATTTTTCATTCTCTTAACAGAATATCTGCGAAGCAAAGTTTCTTTTAATGAACTTGTAAAGTTTAATTGCTTTTTCTTTTCTGGAATATGCATTGATATTATGTCTAGAAACTCTTTGTCTATCCCAGTGGTCTCCACTGGAGATGATTTTGGCTCCTAAGGGACATTTGAAAATTTTAAAGACACCTTTTTTTTTTTTTTTTTTGGTGATATTGGGGTTTGAACTCAGGGCCTGTGCTCACCAGACAGGTGCTCTACCACTTGAGCCACACTCCCAGCTCTTTTTGCTTTAGTTATTTTTGGGATAGAGTCTCACATTTATACCTGGGAGCTAGGACCATAACTCTGCTATTTACACTTCCTACTTAGCTGGGATGACAGACGTATGCCACCATGCGAGCTTTTACTGGTTGAAATGGGGGTCTTGCAAGCTTTTTGCCCAGGCTGACCTCAAACTAAGATCCTCCCAATCTCTGCCTCCTGAGTACCAATGATTATAGGTGTGAGCCCCTGTGCCCAGCATTACCACGGCTTCTGATGAGAAATTAGCCATTAAACATATTGAGGACTCCCTGAATGTCATGAGTTGCTTCTGTCCTGTGGCTTTCAAGTTTCTCTCTTTGTTTTCTGATGATTTTATTAGTGTGTATCTCACTGAGTTTACCTTACCTAGAATTTGTTGAGCTTTGGGATATGTAGATGCTTGTCTTTCATCGAATTTGGAGAGTTTCAGGTAATTATTTCTTCAGGTACCTTGTGCTTTGCTAATTTTTCCCTGTCTTTTGTTTGTTTGCTGTTTTAGGGATTGTGCTTTGCCATTTGAGACACACACACAGTTCTGTTTGATTTTCTTTTTCAATTTTGTTTTTGAGATAGGTTCTTACTAACTTTGCCCAGGCTGGCCTTAAACTCTTATCCCAGCCTCCTGAGTAACTGGAATTGCAGGTGTGAGTATCTGTGCCCAACTGTCTTTTTACTTAAATGCTTCTTAGAATAGGTAATATTAATTATCCTAGCTCCAAGTTTGGTGATTATCTCTTCTTCTGTTGAATTTCTTAAATTTATTTTTCTATTTTTTGGCAGCACTGGGGTTTGAACTCAGGGCATTGCAGTTTGCTAGACAAGTGGTCTGCCATTTGAGCCATGCCTCCAGCCCTTTTTCCTTCAGTTATTTTCAGGTAGGGTGTCATGTTTTTGCCTACAGTTGGCCTCAGACTACTATCCTCCTACCTGTGACCTCCTGCGTATCTGGGATCACAGGCACATGCTATCATGCCTGGCTTATTGACTGAGCTCAGATCTCCCTAACTTACTTTTTGCCCAGGCTGGCCTCAAACCATGATCCTCCTGATCTATATCTCCTGAGTAGCTGGGATTACAGGTGTGAGCCTAAATTTTTCGGTTCAGTTATAATTTTTAGCTCTAGCATTTCTGGCTGATTACTTTTAGAATTTCTTTCTCTATTTGATGAGGCATGGCTCTCATGGTTCTCTGTAATTCCAATATCTGGGTATTCTCAGGGGTAGCTTCTACTAGTTTTATTTTCTAGGGCCATGCTTTCTTGTTTCTTTGCATGCTTCACAATTTTTTTTGAAAACTGAACATTTAAAGTATTGTAAGATAGCAACTTGTGAAATCAAATTCTCTCTCCTGAGGGTTTATTATTGCTGATGTTAGCAGTTTGCAGTTGTTTGTTCAGTGACTTTTCCAATCCATTTTGAAAGACTATGTTCTTTGTCATGTGTAGTCACTGGCATATTGGTCCAGCTGGTTTAGTGGACAGCTAGTGATTTGACAAGAGATTACCAAAAACCCCAAACCAGAAAACTCTCCCAGTGTTTGCAGATGGCTATATTGGGCACTCCAGCAATGCTTTTGGCCAGGCTGTTGACAACTGTGTGTGAGCCTTCACTCTACTTGCAAAAAGTCTGAAGGTCAGTCAGAGGTAAAAGTTGAGGGTGTTCTCAGGTCTTTCCAAAACATGGTTCCAAACCTAGTGTGTGGATCCTCCATGGGTCCAGGAGCCTTTCAAAGCCTTTGTTCCACCATCTACCTCCTTTTCCTAGGATTTCTTATCTGTTTGTGCCCCGTGTTTTATCTTTTGCAGCAAGAGGCTGTGTCTGCCTCTTAAGTGCTTTCATAACAAATGCTTCCTGGGGCTGTTGTCACCCTGATAAAGTTCAAGGGGCAGGTGAGACAAAGCCTCACCCTTGAGCTGACCCCACAGAGGGCCTCCAGACAGCTGACCCACACAGCCACGGTCCTTGACATCAAGGTCCGTATTTCCCCCTCAGGTGCTACAGGCTGAGCCAGGAACGTGGGCTGTCGCCATGGATTCCACTTCACTGGGGAATGAGGAATGGCAGCTGTACGTTAAAATGCTGCTGTGCTCTCGCCAACGCCCTGCAGTTTCTTTCTTACACATTTCCCTGATTGTTGTAAACTTTTTCTTAGATTTCAACTCTTTGATAAAATGATTTTGACAGGTTTTTGGGGTTTTTTTTTTTTGCCACTTGATTGCTGCTATAGCAGGAGAAAGAGTTTTAGAGTCCCCGCCCTGCCGTTTTTTTGCTTGTTTGTGCAATTTGAAGAACCACTTGGATATCCTTGTATGTGAACTGTTTGCTAACTACCAGGGCCTGCATTTTACTGGATGTTGACTTTTCCAATCCACTTAGAGTTCTTCACATAGCAGAAAAGTTAGCTGCCTAGGATAGGAGCTCCAGCCATCTTGGGTCTGGTGCCTTTGATTGTGGTTTTTTGCCCTGCAAGGTTTCTGGTTTTGTTTTTCTGTTTTGCAGTTGAATTTATCAATCTTTTCCATGATGGATGACTTCTGGGCATTTGAGTCATAGTCAAATGCTCTAAACTTATGGAATAATTCTCCATATCTGCTTCTAGAACTTTTAAGGCCATATTGAAAGCCTTGGTTATTTTGACTTTTTCTTGGTGTGAGCCATGATTAATAGATCTAACTTTCCTCCTCAGGTGTATAAATTCTCCAACAAGTGATGATCTTGAGAGCCTGTGGAGTGGCTCAAGTCATAGAGTGCCTGCCTAGCAAGTGTGAGGCCCTGAGTTGAAACCCCAGTGAGAGAGAGAGAGAGAGAGAGAGAGAGAACTCTTTCTTGTGTAATTTTATCTCATTGTTGAAAGACGGTCACGGTTGGGCATTTCCTTTAACCACACGCATTCTCTGAGCCTGAGAGATAGATTTACATCTTTCAGGTTGGAGAGATAGCCCCAACTCCTTCCTAGGCAGTGAAACAGTTATTTCTACCATTTTTGGAAGTCAAAGTTTAGGTCATCAGCAGATTTAGTCAGAATGGTACTTCTTGATAGTTCTGCAGTGGATGTGCAGAATGGAGAGGTTCTTTTTCTTTTTGGTATTTATTTGGTGCTGGGGGTGGAACCCAGGCCCTCACACATGCTAAGCATAGTGCTGTACCACTGAGCTATACCCCAAGCCTCCACAGGAGACATTCCTAACAAGTTTGTTCCGCTAGTATTTACCAGCATTAAGTTGCCTCTGAACAATTATGAGTTGTAAATTAGCAGCATTGCTCTTCTTGTTGGGTGATTTGGTTTCCAGTCCTAGCTTTTTCCACCTAAATGACTGTATGAACTTGGTAGCTCATTCATCTTGGGAGCCTTCTGTTTTCTGATCTATAAATGGAGATAATCATATTTGCCCTGCCCATGACAGCATCTCTTCCAAGGGCTACTGATGTTGTAAACTGGTAGACACAACATAAGGCAGGAGTAATAAGAAAACTAAAATCACAGCAGCTCTTTATGTTTGGGTAGTACTCGTTTCCATCTAAGGTCAACAAACTTCACAACTACCCTGTACAGTGTTTGGCCTAATAAGTATTTGTTTGTGTGTCTATTTGATCTCTATTGAATCTTTACTAATTGCTAAGTATTTCACTACTTTCCTATTTCACGCCACTAAGCAATACACTCCAAATACATGATCTCTTGATACTTGCATTCTAGCTGATCAGATAAATACAATGGTAAAAATTGATGAGTAAAGTATATAGAATGTTAGATGGTGAGCAGTCCTTGGGAAGAGAAAGCATTGCAATGGGGTGGTGGGAAAGTCTCACTAAGAAGGAGACATTTGGATAGATTTAAAGGAAGTGAGAGTGTGTTTGTGGCTCTGGGGAAAGAGCAGTAGAAGGGGCAGCAAGAGCAAAGGCCCTGAGGTTGGTGCATAAGCAAAAGCCATGTGGCATGAGTAAAGGTGAGGACGTTGACGAGTTAGAGAGGTAAGGGGGATGAGAAACCTGGTCAGATCTGATACAGCCTCAGATAGGAACTTTGGCTCTTATTCTGTTAAAGCAGAAAGCCATGAAGGAGTTCCAAAGATAGTAGTAACATGACGTCACTCAGGTTCTCACAGGACCCTCGGTGGGACTCATGGAGAATAGATGGAAGGGAGTCCAGAGAAGGAAGCACATGACCCTTTAGGGGGCACATAAGAAATGAAGACAGCGTGGACAATGGTGGCAGAGGTGGGCAGGTCAGGTTCTGGGTCTGTCTTGAATGTAGACTTGTAGGTAGAGTGAATGTGCTGCAGGGTGAGGAGAAAGGAGTTAAGGATGACTTCAAAGTGTTGGCTAAGTGGGTGAATGAGTCACTCATTAGGCCCTCTTTGCAGCTGAGGAAATTGAGATCCAGGAGGGCAGGGGTTCCTGCAGGTTGGCGCTCTACATGGTTAGTGGGGCTGGATGAGGATCTGCCTGTGGACCAGACTCTACAGTGTGTCTCTGTCCATCTGGTGCTGGGGGCGGGGGCTTGTGACCTGTCCCCTTGTTCCTACCACTGTGCTTCTCCTTGCAGAGGGAAACCCAGTGAGGTGCACAGCCACACCCGGTGGGCGGCCTCACCCTATGACTGCCCACTGGTGCTTCGGAGGCTCGTGCGCAAGGAAGACATCCGGGCTGGCTGCAAGTGTGTTGTGAAGGCACCCTTGGTGTCTGACTTGGAGCTGGAGCGCTTCCTGTCAGCACCCCGAGACCCCAGCCAAGTGCTAGTGTTCGGAATCATCTCAGGGCAGAACCACAGCACTGCCCAGCTGCAGTGGCTGCTGGACACACTGTACAGCAGTCAGCAGCAGGGCCGTGCCTCACCCTGCATCCAGGTTGGTCCTGGAGAGGAGGCCCCGAAGGTCAGCCTGGGTCATAGGTCAGAGGGAGACGGTACGAGGATGAGCTGGACATGTGCCAGTCTCTTTCAGTTCCTTTTCTCCCCAGGGCCTTGGCACATCTCTCTCCTGTCCGCAACATTTCACCCCATCTTCTCCCTCCTACTCATCCTCTGGTCCCTAAGCAAATGTCACCACACTGGGGCAAGTACTTCTGACCCTTGAGACAAAGTCAAGGCACTGTTGTCCTTTTCTTCCAGAGCACTTACCATGGTTTGTGGCTATTGACTGGTGTGAATATTTAGAGCAAAGAAAATGTCCACCCTGCATCCTCAGGATTCAGAAGATGTTTGTATACTGTGCCAGACCCTGGGCACTTGCTCTTCGTGGGACATAAGCCAGTTCCTAGCAGCAGTGATAGTAGTGATAGCAGACCCCATGAGGGCCATGACAGGACAGCCGTGGGTGTACAGCAGCCTGGGGAATATGTACCTGCCACCTCCTGGGGTTAAGGGAGGGTCACCCAGGATACTTAGGCTTCGGCAAGCAGATGAGTGTCGCTGGCAGAGGCAAGGCCTGTGTAGGGCAGGATGGAGAGGTGGGCTGCTTGAGTCTCAGATCATTGCTGTTAAAGTCTAAAGAGATCTCCAGGCCCAAGGGTTAGGGATCACAGAACTCCTCTCCTCCCCCTACTGAGTTACCACCAAGTCAGCCCTCAGCATCCTCTGAACTGCAGTCAGTCCCTGCAGTGTTTGCACAGGCTAAGGGCTGGCCCTGTTCCCAGGTGGACCTGAGCAGGCTATGTGCACATGGGAGCTGGGTGTCCAGGCAGTGACTTCTTTCAAGTTGTCCTTCCCCTCCCACCTACTGGAATCCATGTTCTTTTACCCATTCCCTCTGCTGGTTGCAGAGGCCTGGGTTTTCACGTGTGCCCTGGTATGGGAAGAGGTGGTCTGCATGGCCACCCTCCCAGCCCTTCCACTCAGGAAGTACCTCCTCCCTGACCTTCTCCTCCTCCTCCTGCATGCCCACCCTTAGGGCTACAGTGTGTAGCCTATGCCAGGAGCTCAGCATTTGGAACCCTTCTGATCAGACACCAGGCACTCTTGTTTCCTGCAGTCAGCTTCCAATGTCATTTCATTCGGTGAATGTTTCTTGAGAACCTGCTCTGTGCCCATCTGTGTAAAGACAGATATAATCCTTGCCCTCGTGGGAATTTAGAGTTGACTTAGCTTATGTGAGGGCTATTAATTGTCCACCCATAATTGTCCCTAAGTGATAGGAATGCTCAGGTGACTCAGCCCAGTCCTAAGCAGCATGAGTGGGAACGAGGTCTGGCCTGAAGGGGTGAAGCTGATGAAGGAGTGGCTGTGAGTCTAAAGATAGACTAGGAGGGTGGTGGTGGATCTCACAGTGACTTAGCGCCCACCATGCTAAGACAGAACTGTCTCCTGACATTCTTATTCCCTGATAACTGTACTCCAGGTATAGTTCTAGGTTATACATTTTAAACTGAAGGCTGGAAATAGACAGATAAAGCCAGAAGAGAGCTCACTGGCCACGTTATAGGTCTGTAGCTTCCAAAAAGAAGAGAAAAGAGACAGTGAACTGATCAGACCCTACCTTAAGCTGTGGATTCAGTTCAGGTCCTTGTGCTGGACTTCATGGCTGGAAGGGCTATCAAGGGGCAGCCAGCGAGGGACAGGGGACTCAGGAATCCTCTGTGCTGTGGATCTTAGGCTTCAAGCATAAGACTCGAAGCACAGCTCCCATCTTCAAACCTCTGGAACCTCTGCAGGATGAGGAAGGGGTCCCATTCTGCGAACCACAGAGGGCCAGGGGTGGTCATCTCAGAAATGGCCTTTCCCCGCAGAGGGCTCTGAGCAGATCCAGAGCACATCCTCTGGGGGCAGTCACAGGAGGGACTAAAGGGGAAATTCACGTGCATTTTCTTGCTTGGAGGTGATCAGCTCCCAAATTACCGTCTCACAGTGCGGCACGATCCCTACCGCCTGTTACGGTATGACCTGGAGAGCCCCCTGCAGAAGGACCCACCCCTGCTGGTGAAGAAGTATGCTGTAGTGCGAGGGATGGTTCTGGTGAGCTGGGGCCCAGAGAGGGACAGGTCACGACTGTTGGTCACTACAGCCTCAGGACCCATGGTGGAGTCACAGATGCGGGAGGGGAGGGCAGGACTTTAGGGTCCTCTGCCTAGCCAGCCTGAGGACCAGAGAGCAGCACTAGCCAAGAATCACCCACGCACCCCTATCCTAGGAAGACTGAGGGGTCATGATGTTAAATGCAGAGAATTCAGTTCTCTTCACCTGTTGGCTTTCAATTATTTTATACCAAAAATGTAAAAACTTATGCATGTTCACTACCAAACACTTGGAAAATAAAATCTAGAAAATAAGGACATCCTCACATCTCCCAGAGACTCTCACTTGTTCATCCAACAGTTACATTCTAGGCCCCCTGCTAGGTCCATACCCATCTAACACCTCAGCCTGTGGCCTTTGCAGTCTTTTTTGGTGTGTTCAGATTGGAGATTTGCACAAAGAAAGTGGAGGGTAAGGAAACCTGTGCCCAGGGGCCCCATTCCATGAGCTTAACAGAACATCCAGATAGGTGGATTCAAGGCAGAGGGGCCAGATAGCTGTAGGTGGTTGGGTGGGAGCCTTGGGAGCAGGAAATGCACCTTTCTGGCCTCAGGGCCCTGGGAGGGCTTGTGAGTGAAGTGACAAATCCCTGGATGGGCACTTTGGGCCATCCTCTGTCTTGGAGGTCTGAGTAGCAGCCACACCTTCCTAGGCAGCTGGGGGAAGGCAGTGTCTCTTCCCCAGCCACCAAAGGCCTGCAACCTGACCCAGCTCTTTGAGGCCTTTGGCCAGTCTTGCTGAGTAGTCTCCCTGATACAGTGCCAATGGAGCCTTTCTTACTGTTTCCTTCCTGTCTGCCAACAGATGTTTGCTAGGGGGAAGCTTCTTTTTGGGGGCTGTGTTCTGAATGGATATGGCTTCAGCAAACAGAATCTGCTGAAACAGATCTTCCAGGCTCGGCAGGATTGCAAGATGGGCTACTTCCTGCCAGACAACTACAAATTTAGGTACACAGGGACAGGTGGAATGAGGCATGAGAAGGGTGGCGTGGAGAGGGCAGACTTGGGCTGTGTGAGCACTATGGGTGGGGAGAGCAGGTGTATCCCCAAGGAACGAAGTGGGGAGGAGCCAGAGACGGCAAGCATGGCCTCTAGCGGAGGTACACCTGCCCAAGCTTCAGCAAGAGGACATTGCATGTGAGTAGTAGAGAAGTGAGAGCAGGTGGTGAGGCCATGCTGTCAGTTTCTTTGGGATACAAGTTTGATTAAAGGACCATCTTGGAGAAAGAGGGACACGGGATGGTTTGCACAGTGCCCATTTCTGTTGGCTGCACCCCATCTCACTGGCCCACCCTAAATATACTCCCAGTTCATCCTCTGCATCGGTTGCCAGGAGGTCCATACAGACACGGCCATTCATGGAGTGGGCTTAGGCTCCAACTAACCAGGTGATGCTTCCTATGGAGCACCTCCTAGGTCAACTCCAGGGAGATGATTGGTGGTAGTCTCTTGCCTCGAGAAACATGCCACCTGGTCCAGGAAGGAACCTAGACGTTCCCAAAGGCTGCATCAGGGGAAGAAGAGCAGATTCCAGAATGCTCAGCAATGCAGTGCACTGGGAAACTTGCCAGGTCAGGAGTTCCAAGACGAGGGTTAGCTAGGTGACCATGTTTCCAAAGCTTCAGCTCCCCACCTTTAAAATGAAGAAACTAATGCCCACCTCATGGGACTGTGAGGGGTTCATGGAGGGTGTTTGCTAAAGAGCTTTATCAAAGTGAAGTAATAAGTAAACATGCGCTAACCTTAGCCAGGCTCACATCTGTAACCCTGAGATTGGGAGGGTTGAAGTTTGAGGCTAGCCCTGGCAAATAGTTCACGAATAGTTACTTTCATCCTATTTCAAAAGTAACCAGAGCAAAAAGGGACTGGAGGTATGGCTCAAGTGTTAGAATGCCTGCTTTGCAAGCATGAAGCCCTGAGTTCAAATTCCAGTCCCTCCAAAAAAACAAAAAAAGCCACAAACCCAAACCTTATCTTATGCAAACCTGGGCTGCCTGTGATGCACCCCCACAGCTCTGAGTCTTTGTCCCTCATTCCCATATAGACCCCACAGTTTTCTATCCTGATGTAAGACTCACTCCAGGGAGCCATGGGCCTTGTCAGTGTCTGCCTGACTCTGAGGTTTGGGGAGTCTACCCCTGGAGGATCCATGGAGGTCACACTAAATGTCACCAGCACCTGAGAGCACTCAGTAGAGAAGGCAGGGTGAGGAGGAGCCTGTGGGTTTCACTGAGCCCATCACCGAGACTCAAGGAGAGAGAGGATGGGAGGTCCCTGGAGACCAGCCCATCGACAAGCCCAGGGAGAGGGGAAGACAAGACCAGGGGCTCTCTGGGCTGAGGAAGAAGTGTGCCAAAGGCAGGAGGGTCAGAGACACAAAGGTGCTTTCAGCATGCAAAAGAAGGCTGGCTTACTGCCTGGTAGATAGGGAGTAGGCACCCTCGTCTATTTGGATGTGATAACAAAAATACCATAAACTGAGTGGCTTATAAATAGCAGACATTTATTTCTCACAGTTTTGGAGGCTGCAAAGACCAAGAACAAGGCACTGGCAGATTGGTGAGGGCCTCTTCCTCAGACATGGCCCTGTCTCCTTGTGTCCTCAAATGGCCAAAGGGACAGGGCAGTCTCCCATGGGAATCTTTTATAAGGACATGAATCCCATTCATGAGGGCCCACCCTCCTGACCTAATCATGTACCAAAGACCCCACCTCCTAATACCATCATCTTGGGATGAGGATCTCAACATAAGAATTTGGGATGACACAAAATCAGGCCATGTCAGGGGATGCAGGAAGCAGTTACAAAGAGACACAGCTGTCCAGCTTCAGCCGTCCTCATAGTGAGGCTGTCTTTAACAGGAAAGGATGCCTGAGCCTCAAATGCATGGGGGCATGGAAAAGGGCGTACTGCTTCTAGTAGCTGTGTGTGTGTGCCAACCATTTACCCTCTCTGTGCGTCAGCTTCTTCAAGACTAAGGATTGTTTTCACCTTGTTGGGTTGTGGGGATTAGACACACTAGTTTGTGTGCAGTGTTGGAACTTACTGACATCTCCTGAGAGATTACTAGCCGCAGCTGTCAGTGATAGGATTGTTAAGAAAATGAGTTCTGGTCTCCTTACATCCAAGGGTCTGAAAGAGCTTAATGGTGTGCTTCCAACAGTCTTCAATAATTTTTGAGAAATGATGGGCAAGGAATTAGAAAACTAGACACACACACACACACACACACACACATGAATTAGACACACATACACAAAGGTGGTCTAGGTTCTTGGCTGGAAAGGAGCAGATTCCTAAACTATAACCCAGTAGGACTCTTCTGATTCTAGAATAGCCTATGAGGTTTATAGCTTGTGAGTTCATACAGGGAGTCTTTACAAGTTATGTTGCTGTACTATCCCTGTAACCTCTCTGAAACGAACCACTCTGTACTTGTGGTATCAACACAATCACCTGTTCCTTATTCCTTATATCTTTCATGGTCCAGGCTGCCAGGGCTCAGCTAGGGTGGTTCATGCCTACCCAGGGGCCTTATGCTTCACTGTCAGCAGTCAGTGGGACAGAGTCATCACAAAGACTTGCTCACTCCAAGCCTGGTAGTCCGTGCTGGCTGTCAGGCAGGACCTGTGCATGTGGCTTCTCCAAGTAGCCTGGGCTTCCTCACAACATTGCAGCTGGTTCTGTGAGCCAGACAGAAGCTTGTCTTGCCTTTTACGACTTAGCCCATAAGTCAGGTAGTGTTACACATTGAAGTCCTAGGACCAGCACAAAGTCAAGGGAGGAGAATTAGATTCCACTTCTTGGTGGAGAGGCATGTTGAAGAATTTGTGGACACTTTTTTGGTTGTGTGGTTTTTTGAGACAGGATTTATGTAGCCCAGGTGACCTCAATCTTGCTATGTAGACCAGATGGCCTCAAACTCATGATCCTCCTGCCTCAGCCTCCCAAGTGCTGAGATTACAGGTATGGACCACCATGCCCGACTTCTGTAGACATGTTTTAAAGGCACTCCATCTGCCTTGGTTCCTGCTACTTTGTGATGAGATTATCACTGAGAGGTGAGCTGTCAGCCTAAGTGCTGTGGCTTACAGAAGACACTGGATGAACTCTCCAGTGTCCTCATGGACCAAATTGGCCCATGTGGCTCAGGCCCATTGAACTAGTTCAATGGTAGCCTAAAGAGCAGACCTCTGTGCTTGGCTACTTTTTTCTAATCTGCAACTTGGATGAACACACTGAAGACTTACTGACATGTGCCATTGATAAGGAGACATATCTGAATGAAGGTTTTAGTGTGCTCAGCCACTAGGAGATGGCTCAGAGGAAGAACAAACTTTCACTGTTAGGTTTGGAAGGTGTGCAGTCGGTGGCTGTGGCAATCCCAGTGTGATGGGCCATTGTGCTGAAAGTAAACCTTGGCAGTCAGAAGGGCTGGAGTGTAGAGCAAGGTATGTGTGCACCTAGAATGGACATTTTGTTTCTGGGCCCTCTGATTCCAGAGGGACGTTGGCTAATAGCTTTGCATTCAGCGCTCTGGGAGGCCTCACCATCCCGTGGTGGGAGTCATGTCTTCCTTCCCCAGGGCACTCACCTGGAACCTCCATTTCCAGGTTCTGCATCTGCAAATTCAGCCAACTATGAATCAAAAAATTTGAGAAAAAATTGCATCTGTACTGAACACGTACAGACTTTTTTCTTCTCCTAGCTCCCTAAACAATCCAATAAAACAACTATTCGCATTGCATTTAATTGCCTCGTATTGCAAGTCATCTAAAAATGATTTAAAGTATGTGGGAGGATGTGTAGGTCATATGCAAAGACTGCTCAGTTGTGGTGCTTGCCTTGAGCATCTGAGAATTTTGGTGCTAGCAGGAAGGGGTGGGGGAGGGGGTCCTGGAACGATTCCCCCCCCCATAGGAAGGACAACTGTTGTTTTACTCTGTTCAGTTTTGGGCAGGTCTGTCAGAGGAGTCTAGGAAACCATTCCTTGCAGGTAGTGAGGTGGACAGAAGGAATTGGTCAGCAGAGTCAACACTGGGAAGGCAGACAGGGCTGGGAGCTGGGTCAGAAAGGCCAGATGGTCACTAGGCTGGAGCAACTCAATCTCCCCTTTCCTTGGAGGAGTCAGCTGTAGAGGCACTCCTCAACCTGAGCCTGGGGTCTGTGAGGCCCCCAGCAGGCAAGGGCTAGGAGGAGAAAGAGGAGCCAGGAGGGGAGCTTGGCTGAAGTACCCAGGGAAAAGTGTTCTGGGGAGGCCTTGTGACTCTATCCGACACTGGGATGTGCAAGGTGCTTTTAGAGTAGACTGGCTTCTGACAAACAGAGCAGAAGGATAGGGGCCTGCCCAGCTGCAGATACCTGGTAGAAGGCTGTAGGGCATCTGGGAGTGTTGTCTGGGTCTCTGGGAAGCCCCAGACAGCTCTTCCTGAACAGCAAATATGGTTCAGAAGGAGACTATAGGTCCCACTGTGCATGTCAAGCTGTGCCAGCCAGGGAGGCTAGGTGACTCCATGTTACTGTTGACCTCTTCCTTCCCTTCTCTGTGACCTCAACTCATCCTAGGGCCTGATACATAGGAAACTCTGGAGAATTGTTCACTAAATGATGACCTAGGGTTGGATTTGTCCCAGGGAAGCAGGATTCAGGCTACTGTGAGAAAAGGCTGGCTGACAGCCAGGTGAGCCCACTGATGCCTGGGCTGCTGTGGTCATATACCTCTCCCCAACCCCCTGACCCGAGAACCTCTAGTGATGGGAGGCTCCTCCCTCCCATGGCAGCTCAAGTTTTCACCTAAGAGTCATGTCAGTCCTTCATTACAACATGAATGAACCTTAGGGAATCATATGGTATGATTCCACCTGTCTGAGGTATGTAGAGTCACCAAATTCTTAAAGAGAAAATAGCATATTGGGTGCCACGGACTGGGGTGGAGAACAAGGAGTTT